CTTATAAAAACAGCATTTAAAAACAGTCTGGCTTACAGTTTGAGAGGTTTAGTCCATAATCACATGGTAGGAAGCACAGCAGCATGTGGGCAGACATGGTGTTGGAGAAAGAACTGAGAGTTCTACAACTGGATCCACAGGCAACAGAGGAGACTGTGAGCTACACTGGGTACAGTCTGAGCATAGGAGACCTCAAAGTCTACCACCGCAGTGATGTGCTTTTTCCAACAAGATCACACTTCCTAGTAGTGCCACTCCCTAAGGGCTAAGCAGTCAAATACAAGAACCTGTGAGTGCCATTCCTATACAAACCACCATGAGGGCTTTGTTTGTGTGCTTTGTGGTCGCATCCAGGGCTTTGAAGAGGTTCCTCTGGCACACTACCACTGAAGTGCACCCCAGATCCCCCATAAAAACTGCTTACTTTGTTAAGACTCTCCCTCTTTACTTCCTCACCCAGCTGTAAGAGAGTTTTTCATGATGTGTTCCAGAACACCATGGACACCATGTGTTCAAACACCATGACTATGGGTCTTCAAAGACTTGGACTTAAGGGGTTATCTGCAATTGTATTTTGGAAAGAAGGAACATTCTCAAATTTTTAGGCTACCAGTGCCCTCTAGTGGAAGATAAAGGCTAGGCCCACTGGGTGAAGCCCAGAGTCAAGACCCCCTCACCTGTTTGTCCAGATGCCTGTTTATCAAGACAGGAGCTGAAGCTTAGAGACATGAAAGGGTTTGCCTCAGATCACCTGGTAATCAGCTAACTGGCAAGTCAGAATTTGTGTTAAAGCTTTTAGGAATAGTGATAGTATTTCAAACTATTTGTACAATTCAGAGAATGATGAACAATACCCATGTTTTGGATTCTAAGTAAGTTTATTAAGTATACACACAGCAAGTACTGCCAGGCATGGTGGTGCATCCCTAAATCCAGGCACTCAGGAGGCAGAGGCAGCAGATCTCTGAGTTTAAGGACAACATGGTCTCCAGAGTTAATTCCAGAACAGTCAGAGCTATGTAGAGAGACCTTGTCTCACAAAAACTAAAAACAGGAGGGGTGGAAAGATGGCTCAGGGGTTAAAAGCATCAGCTGTTCTTCCTAAGGACCCAGATTTAGTTCCCAACACCTACATGGCAGCTTACAACTATCTGTAGCTCCAGTTCCAGAGGATCAGTTCCTCACACAGAAACACATACAGGCCACCCCCACCCCCACCACCAAAAAAAAAAAAAAAAGACGGGCTGGAGAGATCTCAGAGGTTAAGTGTACTGGGTTATTCAGCATTGATAATGCAGTTAAAAACTATCCATAAATCCAGTTCCATGAGCAATGCATGCATATGGTGCAGACAAACACAGAGGCAAAAGAAACATACATACATACACACACACACACACACACACACACACACACACACATCTATAGTACAAAGCAGCCAATAGCAAAGAGAAGCCACAGATAGCAGAACATGTTCGAAACCAACAACTAGCAACATCCATCCTTACTGAAAGAACCCAAGTGAGAGAGAAAACATGTCAGCTTCCACCTGAACAACAGGTATTGTTTAAGAGTTAACTGTATATAGCTGGGCGGCGGTGGTGCACATGCCTTTAATCCCAGTACTCGGGAGGCAGAGGCAGATGGATCTCTGTGAGTTCGAGGCCATCCGGGTCTACAAGAGCTAGTTCCAGGACAGACACGAAAGCTACAGAGAAACCCTGTCTTGAAAAACCAAAGGGGGGGGGGGGGAGTTAACTGTATGTACAGGGTTGTACATATGTACATAATATGTACATGTGACTGCAGTACCAGAGGAAGCCATAGATGTTGGATCCCCTAGAGCCAAAGTTACAGGCAGTTGTGACCTACTGGACATGATTCCTGAGAATAAAATTTGGATTCTCTGGAAGAGCAGTAAGCGCTAACAGCTGAGCCATCTCTCCAGCCCAACATACTACTCTTAAATGCTTGCTGTTTTCCATCCTCCTTGTTACAAGTTAGAAGCCAGCTCGGCCAAGACAGGGAGTTTTATTAGAATCAAGGGAGGGCCCCCTTACTCCGAGTCCACCTAAGCTTAAGTAGTATATGACAATTTACCAACGTAACGTATATTGCACACCATAGATGTGTTCATGCACAGACGTGAAAACATACATCTCTCCAACGTCTCCTACTAAAGTGGCAGTTTCATCCAGTTTTGAGCAGGGTACTTGCCAGAGTTTAAAGATTCCCTAGCACCTGGAGCCTCTGGGTGGGCAGAATAAACGGTAGGTGATTCTGACACCTGCCTAGGACTCAGATGGTTATAGGTTGTGGAAAGTTTCTTGAAATAAAATGTTTCTTGAAATAAAAGCTCAATCTTTTTCTGGAGAGGACTTAAGAGTCTATTGACCCTAACAACCAACAAACTAATATAGTAGCTTCAATAAGACTTTCCAAGCAGTAACCACACAATTTCTGCCAGCTTCCCTAACCAGGGATAGGGCATACTCACCCCCACTGCACAACACCACAGACACTCACAGGCATTTAACATTCACAGTCCAGGTCTCTCTCAAGCGCCATTCCATTCTGATGTTTTCATAGGAGCAAAATCAACGCATTTTTCCTTTTCATTGTTTAAAAGACTATCTTTAACTGTGTGCATGTGCTCATGGAGGCCAGAGGATCGGATCCCTGAGCTGGAGCTGCAGGGCATTGTGAGTCACCTTACTTGAGTGCTGAGACTCAAACAAAGGGCCTCTGGAAGAAACGTATGTACTTACTGTTAGCCCCCCATTTTTCCCCGATACCACAAAAACCTCTTCTTTTATCCACGGTTCCTGTTGGTCTCCCCATGTAGCCCACGATGGCCTTCAACTTGCAATCCTCCAGGCTGTTTCCCAAGTGCTGCTATTAAAGGTGTATACCAGGGGTGAACCTAGGGCTTTATTCATCCTCGTGTATTTATTTTTGTTTATTTATTCTTGGGACAGAGTTTCACTATGGAACCCTCAATGGGCCTGGAACTATGTTCCAGTCTAACCTCAAACTCAGAAATCTGCCTGTGTCTGCTTCCCAAGAGCTAAGCTTAAAGGTATGTGCCACAACACCTGGCTTGACTCTGTTAGTTCTCATGAGTGGCACCAATTGTCCCAGCAGCTGACTCTCCTTTTGCTCACGCTACACCCATTCCTAGGTTGGCTGTATTTTCCACATCTTTTCCCAAACCCAACCACTTTTTAAGTCACTGACAGCAATTCTTGGTGCCTTAAACACATATCTAATGTCTTTACACTTTCAACACATCATGGACAACAGACAAGTCGCTATTCCATGCTCTTCATTCCAGGCCTACTGCCACGTCTTGAGAATGACACCATTTCCTGCTCCAGATTTAAACAGCCTGTGGTCCCTGCTTCTGCTCTACATCACTTGCCTACTGAGCAATAAAATGTACTTGTAAGTGCAAACTGTCTAAGACCCTTTCGCAGACACCAGTGTCTTTAGGATATAGCAGATTCAAACTTTATAGCGCAGCATAACATCTTCTGCCCCCTCAGCAATCCAGAGCCTTTGCTCCACCTCATGTAGGGGTATTCTCACAAGTATTCTCACCTTCAATTCTTTCACTACTGCCTCCTTCGTCCATGTGGAATTTATCTTACAGACTCATTCACCCTTAAACTAACTTGAAGGCAGCTTCCTTAGTCATTATTGTGTTAACAGTACATTTAGTATTTACTGGATAAATTTACTTTAAAGAGGAATAATTAACCATGAATTTGGGGTTGAGAACATGCACAGTAAGATTATACCCATATTCTCAAACTGTATGTAGTACCATTAGATTTCCCTCTTTTTATATGTTTAAAGGTTGTGTTTTGCAAATCTAGGAGAAGGGATGGGGAGAAAACACTAACTTAGAATCTACCAAGTTTTGTAAGCCCAGCACTAGGCTTAGCTTACCTTCCCTCCAGCATCAAGAACATGAATCTTCAATCTTCAGCACCATCAGCTCAAATAGAGCAGGGCTTAAAAATTCAGTAAACAAAATGTTAGACATAGCTGCTGGGATTATATTACAAAGTAACAGAAATGGCAGTGCCTACCTACAATCCCAGGACTTGAAGCCGAGGCTAGCCTGGGTTTCATAAGCAGATCTTCCACCCCAAAACAGTTAACGAAACACCAGACCTTAAAGAAGTCACAACATGTGAAAGGTTATAAGATGGAATTGTCTCTGTTGCTCCTCTGGCTTTGCTGCCATCCCTGCTAGTTGCACACTACCCCATCCCCAGGGGTCTCACACCAGTGGAGGCTGCACACACTGAGACAGTATCATTATGGCTCTGTGAAGTGTCCAAAGTTGTGCCATACATAATCTGTACCAATTACCAGGCAGCCCAACCTCACCAAAGGCTGAGAACCCATTTTAGAGGTAAACAGCACATGCAATATCAAGCTATCCCACCAAAGAACAGAAGCTGAGGACCAACGGCTTTAAGGCAGCCCTGAGATTCAATATAAAACATTTACACCAGACAAGGTGGCACATACCTTTCATCCCAGCACTTGAGAGGCAGAGGCAGGCAGATCTCTGTGAGCTTGAGGCCAGCTACATAGCAAGTTCCAGACCAGTCAGGGCTACATAATGAAACATTGTCTCAAAAAACAAAACAAACAAAAACACTATTTATAAAGAGCTTCCATAAATTTCATTAGTTTTCCAAGGACTCTAATCTCAAAAAGTTCAAGAACCGCTGCTGGACACTTTAGCAGATGTTAGGGACATAATGATTAGACACATTAAGCTCCATTTTTAATATTATATCTGCAAACTTTGAGTTTCATAAGTGGGAAGAAGAAATGAATACAATTACTCTAATAGGCAACTTGGGGGGAAGTTGCTACTGACTTTAAGTCTAATCACTTCTCCAAATCATGCCAAAGAGAACAGAAAATGGGCTAGCTGTACATAAACAAAATTACTTATTTCCAATAATGACAACACACAGTGAAATGAAAACTGTTTAATCACACAAAAACACAATAAAAAGACCGTGGAAGCATTACATAGTGCAAACACCCAGGTACAGGGCTATTAACTCAGTGGCACTGCAGGAAATTACACAAAGACACACAGAAACATTTCCCTCTGGCCTCGTTAGTAAGCTGCCATTCTTCTCAGTCTATTACCCCTCATTTGCTACTACTGCACTGGCGACTCCCCGACCAGGATGTCAGGAACTGCCTGTTTCTGCACACCAGCAGAGCATCTTATGCCACCTCCTCAAGTGCACATAGAAAGAATTCCTACGCAGCAAGGCCTCAGCAAGGACGTTCCATGACAAAAGGATGTGCTATCCATATTTACATGCACTTCTCAGAGCGTCTGGAGGATAAAGAGAGCATGTGGGCAGAGGACTTACAGTAAGCAACACAGGCTCTGGTAAACAAGCAGCAAGGAGAACTGCTTCCAGAACTCAAGGCCTTCTTAATACAAGCCTCAGAGGACAGTCGACTAAGACTATTAGCTTCTTACACCTTCTTCAAGGCAGTAAGTTTTTAAGAGTTGCTCCCCAATAGTCTCCACAACAATCTGAGGTAGAAAGGGGTGGTGTGTATGTTGGTGTTACAAGTGAGAAAAACTGCAGCTTACAACTTCCAGACAAGGCTACAAGCTGCTGGGGTAATCTTTCTTTATCCAAGAGGAAACAATTCATAGCAAGCTACCTTGTTCAGACACTGACTGAAACTTCTACTATGCCAAGTACATTGCATTTCCTATTACTGTGTTGGAGGGGTGGCATGGCGTCCTTACTGAAAGGGAGTGAAAGATGGAGAAAACAAATGGGCATGCAAAGGGTTGGCAGACTGACCTCAAATTCCTCAGTGCTCAAATTAGTTCAGCTGTGAACTAATCACCAACCCATCACACACACACAAAAGAAGCCATCCAGCTGACCTCAGCTTCCCTCTTCCCTACTTGAGCTCATGGTCCTCTGCAAACACAAACACAACATTGCTCAGGACTGGCCGAAGAAGGACCGTACATAAGTACAAAGCAGCTCGAATCACCCAGAGAGAAAAATGGCCTCTGGCATAGAAGCAAGGTCCAAACCCAGTTAACTTCGAACCAGGAAAGCATAAAAGCAACAATAAAGGAGAGGGGGAGGGAGGGAGGGGAAATGCCTACAAACAAACACCCAAGTATTTGCTGTTTAAAATAAAAAATACCTTTGGGTAACAAAATGCTCTGATTGGCCCTCGGGTGTCTCAACACAATGCTGATCTTCAGTAAAGCATTTGCCAAACTCTAAAACCACTGAAGGAACTGCCCTGGTAGCACTACTTGCCCTTATAGCTTATCTCTGACTCCTCCACCTTAAGAAATGGGGAGTGCTACTGGCTGTGCTGTACTGCTAGAAGGAACCAGAGGCTCCTATGCAAACGCAAATAAGCAGGGAAAGCAGCACCATGGATGAGATCAGTTTCTGTAATATTAGCCATTCAAAAGGCTACTAAGGATGGGTGTGGTGGCAGATGCCTTTAGGCCCAGCACTCAGAAGGCAGAAACAGGCAGATCTCTGTGAGTTTGAGGACACCCTGGTCTACAAAGCAAGTTCTAGGTCAACCAAGAGCTATACATGGAGACCCTGTCTCTTCCCAAAAGAAAAAAAAAAAAAAAAAAAAAGGAGGGGGGCTCTTGAGGGGAGATCAGAAATAATTTATAGTAAGGGTTTCTTTACTAATGCCACATTCACCAATAATGGCATTATTTGGGATTGCACATGTATTACATCAAAAGATCTCAAACAGCCTACACAACATTCTCCCCCAGGAGGGAAGGGCTGGCAGCTCCTCTAAAGGAAGCACATAGTAACTGCAGACAACAAAGAGCTGTCAATAGAAAGAATATCTCCAAACAAACTGGAAACTGCTCCCAAGCTAGGTCTAGGGAGTGAGTCACTTTAACCACCGGTCTCAGATACTCATTTCCAGGTTAGACTCAGAAGGCTCAACAGCTCCTCTCATAAGCATAAACGGCAACTATCTACTCATAAATCTAAGGAATCTGGTGATATAACTTCACCATTCCCTATGGCAGTGCAAAATTCCACCCATCTGTAAACATTGCACACTTTACTTTTGGCACAGAGGACAGCTTCCGGGTTTATCTTTGAAGTGAAGAGTCTAAACAGCTAATTCTTTATCTAAAACTTTTAAGCAAAGGTAGCATCAATCTAGATAGTGTGAACATACATGAAAGGTTGGTTGGAGGCATCAAGAAATAGTCTTCTTTAGGCTGAAGCAACAATTTAGGCTAAAAGGAAAAATAACAGTCACAGTATCTAAAGCCACGTACTTTCGGAGTTCACAGAACATCATGGGAACAGAACAAAACAAAAACACTGACAAATAGCTAGTCTGGAAGGTTCTTCCTTTCTAAAAAGAACCAACCAGGTAACATTAAGGATCTGGAAACATTCACCAATTCTTCAATCAAGACTTTTCAAGGGAACCATTACATTGAGGTGACACACGTGATCCTGGCAAGGGAACCATTACATTGAACTGACACACGAGATCCTGGCTTTTAGAATAAATTCTTTCAAACCATGCAAGGTATCATATACATCTAAATATACACAAATAATGAACATATTATCACACAATCACAAATGCTTGGCAGTAAAACGTGTTATTACACAACTCTGTGGCAGTCAGAAGGCTGGCCGGGCTATTCTGGTCCACCAGTTCCAGCCCTCACTGGGAAATCTAACATAGATGGGCCAGGGAGGCAGTGACACCAGTGTAAAGGCTTGGCCTGAACTTCTAGTCTGACACAGTAGTAAATACGTAAGCATACTAACACCGTATGTAAGGTAACAGTGAGGAGCCTTTTCCAATCACCTGTCAGCTCTGCTCTGCATTTTCTGTCAAAGATAGTATGATCACAATACTAACTTAAATGACAACCAAAGTAAGAAATTTAACCAGGACATATAAACTCAGCACTCGAGAGGCAAAAGCAGGAAGATCACTGCAAGGTTGAGGCCAGTCTGAGATACAGGGTGAGGCCTAGGCCAGTCATAGCTAAACAGCAAGATCCTGTCCCCAAAAGATGAGGAGCATTAGGATGACTTAAAATACATTATATATTGAATATAGTTCTTGGAACTGAAAAAGACTCAGTTCCTAACACCGCCTGTGGTCTTAAGATGGACGTGTGGTCCAGGGCCTGTGCACATTAGGGACAGCACCTAGTAGCTGTAGAGGAAGATGCAGAGTCAGAAGATGAAGATGAGGATGATGTAAAGCTGCTGAGTGTGTCTGGAAAGGGATCTGCTCCTGGAGGTGGCAACAAGGTTCCACAGAAGAAAGTAAAACCTGATGAGGATGAGGATGATGAAGATGATGATTTTGATGAGAAAGCTGAAGAAAAAGGTCCAGTGAAGAAATCTATACGAGGTACCCCAGCCAAAAATGCACAAAAATCAAACCAAAATGGAAAAGACTTAAAATCATCAACACCAAGATCAAAGGGTCAAGAATCCTTCAAAAAGCAGGAAAAAAAAAAAAAACCTAAAACACCAAAAGGACCTAGTTCTGTAGAAAACATTAAGGCAAAAATGAAAGCAAGTATAGAAAAAGGTGGCTCTCTTCCCAAAGTGGAAGCCAAGTTCATTAATTATGTGAAGAATTGCTTCCAGATGATTGACCAGGTTATTCAAGATCTCTGGCAGTAGAAGAAGTCTCTTTAAGAAAAGGGTTTAAACACTTTGAAATATGCTATCTTACTTAATTTCTGAAACAGTTGATATTATCTGGCTGTCCTTTTTATAATGCAAAATGAGAAATTTCCCTACTGTGTTTGATAAATGTTGTTCAGGTCCCATTGCCAAGAATGCGTTGTCTATAATGCCTGTTTAGTTTTCAAGGATGGAGCTCCACCCTTTACTTGGTTTTAAGTATGTATGGAATGTTATGATAGAACATAGTAATAGTGGTGGTCAGATGTGGAAACAGTAGGGAGACAAAAATATACATGTGAAATAAACTCAGTGTTTTAATAAAGTAAAAAAAAAAAAAAAGACTCAGTTCCACTCAGGAGGACTGGCTACATCACAGCCTGTTCTTAAGCAGGAATTATGATTGATGACATCTGTGATCATTTCTACACTACTTTGTTGTTCTCACTACCATGGAGATGTGAATAAAGATGACTGTAATCAGTCTCTCAAAGAGGCTGCACATCACGCCAAACAGGAGCTACAGGCCTTTTAATACTCGCAGAAGGTAATAGCAAAGGCTTGGCCACTGAGGAAAGGCAAATTCTACTTTATTTGCTGCAACTAGTGAAATTATTAACTGGAGGCAATGACAAGATATAGCTAAGAAAGAAAGAACTCCTTTGCAAACTGGTGGTCTGAATGAGAATGGCCCCCATAGGTTCATGTATGAATATTTGGTCCACAGTTGGAGGAACTATTTAGGAGGATTGGGAGATGTGGCCTTGTTGGTAGGGGTGTGTCACAAGTGAAGGCTTTGAGGTTTCAAAAGCCCATGCCACTCCCAGGGTTCTCTCTCTACCTCCTGCTCTCCAATGTTGGTGCCATCATGAACTAATCCTGTGAAACCATAGCCCCAATAAAGGCTTTCTTCTCTATGCTGCCTTGGCTGGAGTGTTTTGTCACAGCACTGAAGAGTAGCCAGACACCAGTCGGTACCAGAAGTGGGCCACTGCTATGAAAGACCTGGCCACATGGTTTGTTGGAGGAATGTGGAAGACTGGGTCTTTGGACTAAGAAAGTGGTTGAAGCTTGGAAGACAGAAGTGCCAAGAGCCTAGACTTCTGTGGAAGTCTAGATCATGAAGCTTCAGATCTAGACTTAACTAACTCTTAATTAGCAACTGAGAAAAGACTATTCTTGGGATGTTTTGGCAAAGTATGTGGCTGTCTTCTTCTGCCCTTGTCCTAAGTGAAAAGTAACAGACTAATTTCTTTGACAGAGGAGCCTTCCAAAGAGCTGAATGCTGACTCTGCAGCATAGTTATTAGTAACAGAAAAGAGCATGTGAGGCAGAAAGACTATCATATACAGAGTATGAAGGAAAGAGCACCAAGGAGGTTAATGCTGGGAGCCAAGTTTGCATTTTGCACTACCATATGGTCAAAAGCCTATGGGGGATAGGGGGTAGAATGTGGAGGTTTACATGAGAATGGCTACCTCAGGTTCATGTTTGAATACTTGGCCTCCAGTTGTTGGAACTGTTTGGGAAGGATTACAAGGTGCTGCCTTGGAGGCAGTGGGGGTCAAGTTTTAGGATTTCACAAGGTTCTTTCTCTGCCTCCTACTTGCAGAAACAAGATGTGAGCTATCAGTTTTCTGCCATCATGGATTCTAACCTTCTCAAAAGGTAACCCCAATTAAATGCTTTTATGCCTTGGTGTTTTGTCACAATTGAAGAGTAACTACGGAAAAAAATGGAAGGAAAAAAAAAGAAAGAAAGAAAGAAAAAAGAATTAACAATGACAATTAACCCACTAGGCACTTGGTGGAGTCAGGTCTAGTGGGAGGGCAGTGGGGCAGACAGGGAACAGAGTCAACGCAAAAACACATGCTAACATACCTCCATTTAGTAGTAATTATAGAAGTCCCAATGGTCTTGGTCCAATAGGCACATCATGGGATTAGATACCATATATCTCCCCATTTCTAAGAGCAGGAGCCACTGGAAAGGCTGGGACAGCTAGATGTCCCCCAAGTTCAATAGTTCTACAGACTTGATCTTTAAAATGAGGTATTCATATCCCTGGGGAAACACCAAGATCTATCCCATGGGTTCGGCAGACACAAATAGGTATAAAGACACAAATAAGGTCTTCAGTTTGTATACTAAATTGATGTGGTCTAAAATGACTACGCAGAATTGAAGATCAATTTGTTTCCCTCCCTCTTCTCTCCACTTGTTCAACCCTATCACTGGCCATTGCCTTGGAGTGTGCATAATTCTAGAGGCAAAGTACAAAAACACCTAACCAGCTTCCAGGAGACAATTGCCAAGTGTTGGCTACAAAGCCTATACCTTCTCCTTGAGAAGGCTGTGCAGACATGTGCACTCCTGTTATTTTATGTAAAGCTGAGAGATTCAGCTAGGCATGATGGGACAGCCTATAAGCACAGCACACAGGTGGGAGACACACAGATGGTCAGAGGTAGAAGGACATCCTTGGCTACACAGTGACTAATCAGATTTGTTTCTTCAGTGTTGGTCCTAGTATTTTTCTAATAACTACCTTAGGTTTTGATGCCCGAGAACATTACATAACAGCAGGGTAGAGTATAAACCAACTAATGCATTACTCTCAACAGGGAATAAAAGAATGCACTGTTATGTTTGTATTGGTATTATTCCCACTCAGATTTAAGATTTGGAAGGAGAACAAAGGGATTTAAGTATCTAACGTTAATGAAACCCTCAAACTGATCTTCTAAAATTCCATAAATAAACACATACAATGGCTCACACTCATGAAAGATGCTCAATGCTGATTCTTTTAAAAACAAAGTCTCACTACATGGCCCAGACTGGCATCAAAATAGGTGATCTTCTGCTCCTGCCTCCAAGAATACTGGTTTTTTGAGAAATGACCTGATCCTAATATTTCTCTGACTCAGCTATGCTATAAAAACTTTAATAACCAACTGAATCTCTTTCTTACAAGAAGGACATGAAGCCCCAGCCTTCTTTAGTCTTCTGGCACACTGGAAACACGTCGTCAAATGGCTCGTTCTCCCATGAATAATGTTCCCATCCCGAGGCCTTTTTTCACATAAACTACACGGCTTCAAGATATTTTTAAAATCTTCCATACTTTCTGTATCTGTTTTCTGTTCAGAAAGGATATCTGCTTGTTCTCTCACACTTGAGATGGTCTCTTGGCTTTCAGAACTATGAGCCAAATCCAAAAACTCCACTGAGTTACAAGGGTTAAACTTGGTATTCTCTTCCTTTAAATACACATCTTTAGGCCTGACAACTGGAGCTGAAACGGTTCTCCGGCAGTCAGGGACATCGATTCCTTCATTCTCTTTCTTTTCATGTATGGCAGTGATATTAGATGTGGAGAGAGAATGAGTTAATTTAGAACAATCCGAATACCAATCCTTTCTTAAGGCCCAGCAACGAAAACAATACCTCTTGCTTGGAGAATTAAATTTCTTGCACTCTGTACACTGCCACTCATCCTATAAAAAGTTAAGTGAAGCCAATTAAAAATGTGGTAAGAAAGATGCTAAGAAAAATATGTTCACACACACACAATAACAACAACAAAGCAAAAATGAAAGATAGGCCAAATTCTCATTTCACTAAGTATCTGTCTAGACAACCCATATCAGTGATTCAACCTGAGACCTGAACAAACTCTATTCTCACATGGAAGAAAATTTTCGAAAGTTTTACATTTACATAGTGCCCCAACTGTTCTTTTCAAATCAAAATTTGGCATAATTATCTTTTAAGGAAGTTGATTATTTTTGCCTTCTATCCAATTTAGACGGCATTTATATTTCTTTTACTTGCTTTCTTTCAGGTCACTTTTCCATTCATAACTTATTCCGTCTTGTCAGTGGCTAAAAAAATGAAACCTATCAAAGGCAGAGGCAGGTGGATCTCTGAGAGTTCAAGGTCAGCCTGGTTTATAAGTGAGTTCCAGGACAGGTAGAGCTACACAGAGAGATCCTGTCTCAAAAAACCAAACAAGAAAAAAAAAAAATAAAAAGAATGGCCCCCATAGGCTCAAAGATTTGCTTGGTCACCAGGGGGACACTATTTGAAACAATTAGGAGGTGTGGTGTTGTTAGAGGAAGTGTGTCACTGGAGGTGGGCTTTGAGGTTCCAAAAGCCCAAGTCATGCCCAGTGGCTTTCTCTCCTGCTGCTGCCTATATATACAGATGTAAAACTCTCAATTACTTCTTCAGCACCGTGTGAATCTGCATCCTGTCACTGTCCCTGCTGTGGTGAGAATGGACTAAACTCCAACAAGCCCCAGTTAAATGCTTTATCAGTTGCCATGGTCATGGTATCTCTTCACAGCAACAGAACACTAAGACATGGCCTTACTGAGGGTGTAACTGGGAGCCAGCCTGAGGTTTCAAAAGCCTCCATGTCTTCCCAGTGAGTTCTCTGTTTCCTGCTTGAAGTTTAGGATGTGAGCAATCAACTGTACCACCTTCTCTTCATTCTGCATCACAGGCTCTAACCCTCTAGAACTTTAAGAGTAATTAAATGCTTTCTTTATAAGTTGTCCTGGTCATGGTGTTTTTTAAGAGCAACAGAAAAGTAACTGATACACAGGACAAATGCCAAGTACTGAAAATGTAGAGATCATAACTCAACCGCCTAGAATGAGAGGCAAGAGGCACAGACTAATGATTAAGCTACAACACTCACCAGTTTAGGACTCTTCAATCTTGTCTGAAAAGCTATATAAATACTTAAAAGACCATCAAAATAATTTGAAATTCATAACTGATAGCATGCTACAGTATGATTGCCATTGCTTTTTTATAATACATAAAGTAGCAGGACTTATTACATTCAATGGCATCTTTGATTTGACGAAATATCATCTATTTGCTTAATAGCTTTTCTGTGCCCAAGTGTCACAGAAGTTTGATTAGAATGAGAACATTTCTCTCAGCTATTTGCATTATGATCAAGAACACTTACTAGACCAATTATGTTCCACTCTATCATTTATCTTTGCAAAAAATTACCATAACAATCGACAGCAGTAGGGATAGAGGGTGGCAGTTAACACCAGAACAACCTAAAGTTCTATCCCAAAGTGGTGAAATACCCTGTTTATTTAACTCCTAGCATCTGTTCCCACAGTAAGCTACAGGGGAGAGAAAAAATGGAAGAAAGGAAGGAAAAGAAAAGAAGAGAGAGAGAGAGAGAGAGAGAGAGAGAGAGAGAGAGAGAGAGAGAAAGAGAGAAAGAGAGAAAGAAAGAAAGAAATTCAAAGTATACATTTAGGTTGATTTAACTTTTCACATGGCCACAAACTTAAGGCATATTTCCTAAAAGCTTAATACTGACTCTTCTTTAGCAATCCCCATTTATATTAACTATGTGGAAATTAAGTTGTTTTTCAATTGCATCTTTTTGTTTGTTTGTTTTTGAAGACAGGATTTCTCTGTGTAGCCCGAGCTGTCCTAGAACTCACTGTGTAGACCAGGCTAACCTCGAACTCACAGAGTGGCCTGCCTGCCTCTGCCTCCTGAGTGCACTACCACCAGCAGATTTATCTACATTTTTTAACAGATGCTGGTAAAATTGTTTTTCTAACTCAAGGAATTTTATGTAACTTATAGATCTTAGGATGAGAAAGGTGTTCAAATGAGGGAAAGTAATGGAGGATGGAGGGGTGGCTTAGTGTGGGTTTGGGACTACAGCCAAAAATGTGCCATAGCATGTTTGTGGAGGTCAGAGAGTAACTTCGGGTATTGTTCTTCATCATCCACCTTGCCTGAGACAAGGTTCCTGTCATTTGCTACCGCATATGCCAGGCTAGTTGGCCTATAAGCTTCCAGGAATTCTCCTGCCTCTCTTCCTTGTTGTCACAGAAACAGCTGGATTATAGACAAATGCACTACTAACACTGCCTTCCATGGCTTCTGGGGACTCAAAAGAAGGCCCTGATGCTTTACAGCAAGTGATTTACCTACTGAACCATCTCACTATGCCTTGTCCTGGTTTTTTCATTTTGTTTTTTGAGACAGGGTTTCTCTGTGTAGCTCTGGCCATCCTGGAACTCACTGAGTAGATCGGGCTGGCCTCAAACTCAGAGATCCAGCATCTACCCCGCCCCGAGTGCTGGAATTAAGATGTGTGCCGCCACCATCCGGTTTGTCTATAGTTTTGATAGCGGGAACAGAGGTACTCTGGTCATCTTTCCCAAGGCAGGGAAAATACTGGATCAAATTATTCCTTTATAACCAGGCAGCAGTGGCACATACTTTAATTCCAGCATTGGGGAAGAAGAGGCAAACTGATCTCTGTGAGTTGAATGCCAGCCTGATCTACAAAGCCAGGGCTGTCACACAGAGAAACCCTGTCTCAAACAACAACAACAACAAAAAAAAAATTCTTTGGTTTTCAAATTCCAATTAAAAACTTAAAATGAAATGTAGCCAGGTGGTGGTGGCACACACCTTTAATCCCAGCACTCTGAAGGCAGAGGCAGGTGTATTTCTATGAATTTGAGGCCAGTGTGGTCTATAAGAACTAGTTCCAAGACAGGCTGCTACAGAGAATCCCTGTCTCAAAAAACAAAAACAAAACAATAACAACAACAAAAAAAAATGTAAAGAATCTAACGCATCTTAGCGAGTAGGAAACAACAGTCGGCAATGCTGTAATGCATGGGAACTAAGATTCAGCTAAAAATTGGCAACAGTAAAACAGCTTTTACCTCGGAGGTAAGTTCCACATCAGTATCATCACTCAAGGACTTAGGGTCCTCAAGATCATCATCTTTTCCCACATCAATCACCTGTGAAGGTAAACAGACCTCATTAGAAATGCTAACTTTTTTTATGAGAGACTATTAAAGCAAAAGTGATGAACAGCTTCAATGTAAATAAAACTCACTCTGTCCTAACATTACCACTTAAAAACATACTAACATAAATGTACCAAAACCTTGATCCTGTAGATATAAGGCTGACAATTTAGTAACACTAATAGTGGTAAAGCACCCACAGGGTTTCCAAGTATCTTCCATATTCAGAAAGAGGCATCCAAATTCACAACTTCAAAGAAAACAAATGCCAGGAATATAAAAGCAGGAATTACTGGCTGGGCGGTAGTGACACATGCCTTTAATCCCAGCACTGGCGAGGCAGAAGTAAGTGGATCTCTGAGGGTTCTGCAATAGCCAGGTCTACATGGCAAACTCTTTAATGACTTTTCTCTCAAATTTCAAGTATTTTGAGACCTGTTCTTTTATATAAAAATTTCCAAACTGTCATCTTCATTTCAGTCACCAACATTCCTTCCAATGTAGTCTATAATTGGTTTAGAGAATCTAAAACATATTTATATTTAAAAAAAACCAATTCCTATGAAAAATAATATGAATAAAACAGCCCAATTTAACCCAGCATGTTTTTGTTGTTGCCTTTATCTATTGCTACATTTAGTCAATTTTTTTCACCTTCTTTAAAGATCTTTTTTTTTTCAGTAAGTATACAAAACAATGGATATTTTCACAGATCTAATCAGTGGGTATCACTGAGATGTTTCTATGTGCTAAGCGCTAGCTCTGCTGCCCAGTTCTTCTAACTGAGCTGCTGTAACTGTGTGCTCATACCACAGTACTGAGAGTTCCTTCAGTTTTTATGTTTTTTGTTGTTTTGTTTGATTTTGTTTTGTTTTAAAGTTTTTTCAAGGCAGGGTTTCTCTGTATAGCCCTGGCTGTCCTGGAACTAGCACTTGTAGACCAGGTTGTCACCAAACTCACAGAGATCCACTTGCCTCTGCCTCCCAGTGCTGGAATTAAAGGCATACACCACCACACTCAGCTCTAACTCCTTTTATTTTATGACTTTATTTTTAATTATGTGTATGCATGTGGGTTTGGACATGTGAACAGAGTGCCCAAGGAGGCCAAAAGGGAACATTAGATTCCCTGGAACTAAAGTAAGAAGCACTAAGCCACCAGACATGGGTGCTAGAAAGTGAACTCAAGTCCTCTGGAAGAGCAGCAGGAAGAGCTCTGAAACACTGAGCCATCTCTCCAACCCCTACCCCCAACTCCCTTCTTCTTCTTTTTTTTAAGATTTATTTACTTCCTTCTCAATACAGGAGAAAATCATAAAAACTTTAAATACATTTTAAAATTAGCTTTTTCCAATTTAGTTATAAAGTGATTATAAAGCTATCAAGATTCTTAAAACATAAGGATTTTTCTCCCATAACAGAAACCACCAAGGCCATTTAGAGTTTTGCCTTATAAGCAAAAATTTCTAGAAGAAATACTCTACAACGGACCATAAGAAGGAAGGAACAGTATGTCCCTAAAGCAGCAAGAGTTTCTCCATGAATCTTGGCTCATTTCTAAGGCAGCCTTGTCTAAATTAATTTAAATCCTAAAACTGGACACAGAAAAATACTCAACACCTAAACAGATAATTCTGTCAATATAGTTACAATCAGAGTGAAAATGTTCAAACATACCTTTTTGTCAAGTGCTTTCTCTACTTCACTTGCCTGCTCAGAATTAGCAGCTTCAACTTTTATTCCAACACCTAATTGCTCTGACACTGACTCATTTAAAAACCACAAATCATCCGTAGTGTCTGAAACAATGGCAGTACCCATATCCTAACGGAGAAAAACAAAAGTGAGCTTTGTAATCAGTGACTTATGAGAGATGTAGAACCAACTTAAAGTCTTCACATGCCATCCAGAGAACGCCGTGCCTTTCCTCAAGGGCATGTCTTCATTCAACAGGTCATCTTCTAGGGTCACAAGATTCATAGATATACGGGTACCTGACAAGGAACTTTTTTTTAACACTAAATGCGGTACAATATACAAAAATGGTACACAAAGAGTTTAAAAGAACTTAACAGGGGCTGGAGAGATGGCTCAGAGGTTAAGAGCATTGCCTGCTCTTCAAAAGGTCCTGAGTACAATTCCCAGCAACCACATGGTGGCTCACAACCATCTGTAATGGGGTCTGGTGCCCTCTCTGGCCTGCAGGCATATACACAGACAATATAATGTATACATAATAAATAAATAAATAAATATTTTTTTTAAAAAAAGGAACTTAACAGTTGTTCTACTAGACACAATGCATTCAACAGTCATCTCCACAAGTGAGAATCTATGATTTCTGACATATTCCTTCCTAATTTATGATCAGTAACTGCTTTCTAGAAAAATACTGATGGAATCCCACTCTTTGAACATGACACTTTTGAAATTTGTGTTTCTTTTTGAAAAACAATTAAATTATGCAATCCTGGTGAGCCTGGACTTCTACGTAGCTCAGACTGGCCTCAAACTCAACATCCTCCTGCCCCAACCTCTTAAGTGCTGAAACTATATACATGCACCACCACACAACTACTTTCTGCAGCTTCAAACAGCAACACACGCAAACTTAACCTTTACATTCTCCTACAGACAGTTTTTAAAAATTTATTTCTATTTTATGTGTCCAGGTGTCTTGCTGCATGCAGTAAACGGAACTGAGACTGGAGCTATGACAAGTGTGGTCACCGTGTGGATGCTGAGAACTGAACCAGGTCCTCTGGAAGAACAGTAAGCATTCTTAACCTCTGAACCATCTCTCCAGCCCATCATCCATACGACATTTTCTAGAACTTTGTATTTGGCTACTGTTCTATGACCTTCTTTTAAAGAACAAACACTCACTGAATGCATATTACGTACCAGACACTATTCTAGTAACTCAGTAAGTGAACAACTTACTGGTCTTACATATCAATGAAAATAAACAATAATTACAAATATAAAGTCTAACAGTGTTTCTATAAAGTGGCCAGTGCAATTGAGAATATCAACTAAGATAAAAGAAAACAAACCACAAATGATGAAAAAAAATGAATGCTGGAGGGAAAACAAACCAATGCAGTCACACTGAAAACAACAATAAGAACAAAGCTTAATGTACTCACTATGGAAATCAGTGTTAAGGTTTCATATAAAACTTTTCCACTCCAAGCCGGACAGTGGTGGCACACGCCTTTAATCGGAGCACTCGGGAGAAGGCAGAGGCAGGTGGATCTCTGTGAATTCGAGGCCAGCTTGGTCTACTAGAGCTAGCTCTAGGACAGGTCCAAAGCTACAGCAAAACCATCTCCAAAAACAAAACAAAAAAACAAAACAAAACAAACAAAAAAAAAACAAAACTTTTCCACTCCAGTATATACTCAAAGGACTCTAAGCCCTATCATATAATAACCTGCACATTAATGTTTATTGCTGTACTTCTCACAATAGATAATGGAACTACCTAGATGTTCATAAACAAATGAATGGATAAAGAAGATATGGAACCTAGAGACAACAGAATCTTATTCAGCTATAAGAAGAAAATGACAGTCGAGTGGTGGTGGCATACTCCTTTAATCCCAGCACAAGGGAGGCAGAGGCAGGTGGATCTCTGTGAGTTAGAAGCCAGCCTGGTCTACAAGAGCAGGTTCCAAAAGCTACAGAGAAACCCTGTCTTGAACGCCCCCCCCCAAAAAAAGAAGAAAATGACATGTCCAGGAATAATAATGACTCAGAGAGCATTATGTTAAGTGAAATAAGCCAGGCTCAGAAAGACATACACTGAATGTTGTCTGTCATGTGCATTTCTATATTTTAATTTTGTGTGTGTGCGCGTGGGGGGTGGGGGGCTTGTTCATGAAACTATCAAGGAAAAGTATTAAAGGGGTTAGAAGCTAGTCATGGAATACATATACATGTGACATGAAAACAGAAAGGGGAACGACTGAAAGAGGAAAAGGGGACTACCAGGTGGAGGACGCAGGGAGGGAGTGGAATAGAGAAACATTAAGGATAAAATATGGAGTCGAGAGATGGGTCAGAGTTAAGTCTGCTCTTTCAAAGGTCCTGAGTTCAATTCCCAGCAACCACATGGTGGCTCACAACCATCTGTAATGGGGTCTGGTGGCATACACACAGACAGAATATTGTATACATAATAAATATTTAAAAAAAAAAAAAGAATGAAATATGAGCCGAGCAGTGGTGGTGAACATCTTTAATCCCAGTACTCAAGAGACAGGAGCAGGTGGATCTTGGTGAGTTCAAGGCCAGCCTAGTCTACAGAGTGAGTTCCGGGACACCCAAGGTTACACAAAGAAACCTGTCTCAAAAACAAAAAAAAAAATAGGCATAGGGGCATACACCTTTAATTCCAGCACTTGGGGGGTAGAGGCAGGCAGATCTCTGTGAGTTCAACGACAGCCTCATCTATATAGTGAGTTGCAGGACAACCAAAGCCACATAATGAGATCCTGTCTCAAAAAACCAAAACAGATATATGAGTCCTCTAAATCAATTGAGCAAAGCTCATATGAACTCACAGAGATGGAAGGAGCAAGCACAGAGCCTACACAGGTCTATACCAAGTCCTCTGCGTAAATATTATAGCTTTCAGTTTAGTATTTTTAAGGGATTCCTGTATGTGTGAACAAGTGAGTATCTAATTCTTGTGTCTTCTCCTGGGCTCTTTTCCTTCTGTTAGTTTGCCCTGTCCAACACTGATATGACGGTTTTTATCTTATATTTTTAAATATAAATCAATAAAAAACTACTAATTACTTATGCCATCATTATCTTAAAAGTTGACATAAATTCTGAATGTACAATTTATTTGTTTACTCATTCTTGTGTTAGTAAAAGCATTCTTTACTTGAAAAAAATAATATATGGAAATACCATTAATGAAACACAGTACTTTATATGGTAATTGTTACAGAAGACTTAAGGGAAAAAGTTAAAGGGACAGGGTGGCTGGAGATAGGTACTTTTCTAGCTCTTATTCTACTTGTTTTCTGACTCCACTGAAGAATCATAAACATGGCAGTAATGCAAGTTATTCATTAAAAAATGTACTCTTGCAAAGAACTCAGGATGCTGACAGAGCTCTGTGAGTTTGCGAACATATTGGTCTACACTGTTAAGTTCCAGGACACACAGTCAGGGCTATGTACAGACCCTGTCTCACAAAAAAACAAAAGCAACAACAAAAAGTATCATCAATGGTATTACCTAAATGAGAAGAACCCTATAATATCAACTTATCAAGTGAGAAGTGCCCACTGGTGAAATAATCGTCTACTACGGGGGCAATCAACCACCTTAGTTAGGGTCCTATTGCTGCAATGAAACACCATGACCGGGCTGGAGAGATGGTTCAGCAGTTAAGAGAACTGGCTGTTCTTCCAGAAGACCCAAGTTCAATTCCCAGCACCCACATGGCAGCTCACAACTGTCTGTAACTCCAGTTCCAAGGTATCTGATACCTTCATACCAATGCACATAAAATAAAGTTAAATAAAATTATTTTTAAAAATAATTCAGGCAAATTGAGGTAAAAAGGATTTATTTGTCTTACACTTCCACATTGTTGTTTCATCGCTGAAGCAACTCAAACAGGGCAAGGAGGCAGGAGCTGATGCATGGAGGGGTGCTGTTTACTAGCTTGCTTCACATGACTTATTCAGCCTGCTTTCTTACAGAACCTAGGACCACCAGCCCAGGGAAGGCGCCACACACGAGGGAGCTAAGCCCTCCCACATTGATCACTAAAGAAAATGCCTTAGAGCTAGAACTCAAGGAGGCGTTTCCTCAACTGAGGCTCCTCCCTCTCTGATGACTCTAGCTTGTGTCAAGTTGACACAAAACCAGCCAGTACACAAACCACTTCCTGATTACATATGAGAACCACTCCACAGAAGGGAAATCATGCCTATTTCTGGAACCCAAGACTGGAGAAATGGTTCAGTGGTTAAGAGTACCAGGTTCAAGTTCCCAATAACCACACAGTAGTTCACAACTGTTGAGACTCTAGTTCCAGATCTGTACCCACGCCTCTGGACTCTGAGGGTACTGGCACACACAGTACACACACAATAAATACTTTTTTAAAAATCAATAATATTAGAACCAAGAAATGTAGCTGTGGTGTAAAACTGCCCGGCTACCTACATGAAAAACAGTAATGGCTTAAATTGGGTTATGACAGTTAAAGCAGTTTAAAAAAAAAAAAAAAACAGCTTCTTCTGATGTGTTCTGGATAAAATCCTGACAATCTGAATGCATTCGACAGAGAAAGAAGTCAGTATCTCCTGTAGTTTGGCTAAAATTATTAGCAGAAAGAAAAGATAGGAAAGGACTGCTTGATTAAAACAAACATTATTTTCATGTTCATGGTCAGTAAGACTGACCACCACTTATGTAGGGGGTTCACAGTGGAATTTGGAAGAGTCAGTACTAGATCTGGGCATCATATTCATACAGATAAAACAGTAAGAATGTTTAGCTAAGGATGAAATACAGTCAGAGTAGCAAGAACAAAACAGCACAAAACAAAACAGCTCCCCTCAGATTTGATTTTTACCTGATTTGTCTGTAAATCCGTCGAGCCATTACTTCTAGGTACATAGTTGTTTCTCAAGTTCCCTAAAAACCACCATGGCAGACCAGCAATATCCCACTCCTCAAAGTCAAGGTCCAGCCTAGATGTCTCATCTTGAGTTAAATGTTCTATTAAATCTTCATCTACAGAAATCAAATGAAAATAATTATAGGTAATCAGAAACGACTAAGATTTTCTCAGAATACTTAACAATCTGTGTAAAAATTAAGTAAACAGAAACTGTTTTCAGTAAGAAAGAAACAGAAACAAATACCTCAGTGGCATGGCTCAAATATCCCACTTAGGTTTCCTTAGCAAGCAGTAACACTATGAGCAAATCACTTCAGGACACGAAACTTTAAAATCATCTGAACACACTGTTCTAAAAGGATTTCAAAAAATGACCATTTTCTAAAATTTTAAACATTTCTAACACTGTAATGTAATTCCTAACAAAGATAATGACTACAGCCAAGCATAGTGGCACACATCTTGCTTTAATACCAGCACACAAGTCCAACTTAGTCAGGGCTACACAGTGAGACCTGATCTCAAAAACACACAATAACAACAACAATGACTTACTCTAATACATGTTTTGATAATGGCTTAGTCAATGGATTGCAAATGGTAATAACGCAGCAGCCCAACCCTTGAGATCAAAGCAGGGTGGTATAGATCCCTACGGGGATTAACAAGGTTAAGTCTTGCTGGTGCAAATTATTTGGGATATTTATCAGTAACTCAAATGTTTTGTTAGGTAACAACTATCGAAAGAGAACTCCAAACTGTCCAAATAAATACATGTCTGTGTCTTTTCTGGATCAAGGGCTCCTTGAAAGATCAGTACCTAAAAGTACCGCAGATGACAAGGTCCCACGTATTTTTTTAATTGTAACATTTTTATATACAAATCTTTCTTATGAATTAATGCATACAATATAGACATAAATATATACTGAAGTATATAGATTTTGATCTTTATTTTGTTTGTTTTAAATAATGTACCAATGACCGGGCTATGGCAGCCGCTGAGAAGAAACAGCTCCCATGCAAAAATCACAGGATTTCTCTGGCCCATTGTATACACTAGAAAGCTGTACCTATACAACAGCCTCCAGCAACCACAGGGCATCCACATATTTTAAGTAAGGGCTTCGACAATTACTAAGTTCACTCTTGTTGCCATACGTAATCTTTTCTAGTCCTTTTAGCAATTCACTCTTTCCCTACTTTCTCACTGACTTCTACCTCTTACCAATACACTGGACCTGGCCATGGCAATCACAGAAGCACAAATGTGCCCAGGCACATACGATTCAGAGATTTCTGCAATAAACTGGTCCCTGTCAGAACACAACTAATTAATTACATCCTGCTATTATCTTAGGTATATTTGTGGCCCGAGAAGCTTCAATTACATTTTCATCCATTCATTACTGTAATGATCAGAAACTAATTCCCAAGATAGAATCATTAAAGTAATCCTTGGTTATATTCAAGTTCTATAATTATTATAAAAAGAATATGTACAATTCTTTCCACAGGTAAAAATGCTGTCCTTTCTACCTATAGATCTTCCTGGAAATCCTGGAATAATTCATTACTAAATTTCTATCACAAATTAGATATAATGTCTTGAGCTATTATTTTAAAAAGCTTTTCATGATTAGAAAATAAGATCCCCCCACCGCACTCGAGATAGGGTTTCTCTGTAGCTTTGAAGCCTGTCCTGAAACTAGCTCTTGTAGATCAGTCTGGCCTTGAATTCACAGAGATCCACCTGCCTCTGCTTCCCGAGTACAGGGATTAAAGGCATGCACCACCACCATCACCAGGCAGAAAATAAGATTTACAATTAAATAAAAGTACACATTTAGGACTAAAATAGCTTCAATGTAAAATTAAAAATCAATTTATATTCAAATATAGTGAGAAAACAAGCTTGCATGATAAACTATTTCAAATTTAATTTAAACATATAAAACAACTTTAGAACTTAATAACTTTTTGAAATATTATTAAAAATCTAATCTGCCTTTGACCCAATTATGAACCAGGAACTAGATACTAAAAATCATTATGATATAAGTTAATACCTTTAGGGAAATTTATGGTTTTGTAAAAAGGGGGAGGGGAGAGAAGGAATGGGAAAGGAAAGGAGAGAAGGAATGGGAAAGGAAAGGGAAAGAAAGAAAACGAAAAACTCCAAAGTTTCAGAAAATATTTTAGGAGAAACTTCCAAAATATGAGTTAAATTCACTCACCCTAACCATGTGCATGACAGGATAAAAGGTTCTACCAATGTAACACAACTATTCAACATGCTAACTAATGTTTGTCTCTGTACTGTTAAATATATTGTGCTGCTACATATAATTTGCCATTTTTGCAAGCTTTAAATCTTTAAAAATTCGTTTCCACCTGAAAAGATAAAAGCCAAGCCAAAATAAAAAGTCTAGAGAGGGCAACTGAAAATCAAAAGGCCATGTACCCCCCGAGTCTACACACAAGCAGCGTCCTCTCAAGCTCACTAGCTCAAGCAAGGGTCCTGTACTTCCCACTGTCCAGAAGCTGCCAAAGAATACCTACTATCTAGATAGATGCCTGCTGGAAGCTGTGCAGCCTAGTTTTGGTCCAATATATGTGTGCTTGTCCAACAGGTCTCCAAAAGAGGCAAAAGCCCACGGGAACAGTCTCACTGGCAAGGACCAGTGAAAGGACTACAGGACAGGGCAGAATACTGCTGAGACTGCACAGCTAACATGTGCTCTTCTCTCATAACTGATGATTCCTTGGCTGTCTTTTTTGTTTGGTTCCTGTTGTTTTTCAAGAAAGGGTTTCTTAGTAGCTATGGAGCCAGTCCTGGAACTCACTCTGTAGACTAGATTGGCCTCAAACTCAGAGATCCGCCTGCCTCTGCCTCCTGAGTGCTGGGATTAAAGGCGTGCGCCACCACCGCCTGGCTCTCTTGGCTGTCTTAGTGTCATTTTTCTGTCATTCATGGGACAGATGTGATCATTCTAGGAAACCCAATTTTTTCTCAAATATTTTCCCTTAAAATTCTTTGGGAGCTGATGCTTCTCGGGTTTGTCTGGAGATGTCCACTGTCACTTCAGACCCCTGGAGCTGTCTGATCCAGTGCTGACAAGATCAGAGGCAGGCAGATCATCCCTATTTCTGTATATATGTTTTGAATGGGATTGTTGTTCTTGAAAATATGTACCTGCCCATGGCAATCATCTTTTAGTTTTGTAAAGACAGGATGGACCTGGCTCGATATTTGGCCAAGCTAGAAAAATGGTAAGTGTTGTTTTTGGTTTAAAGATGTTTTGAAGGCAAAGAAAGGCAGATCTCTGTGAGTTCAAGGTCAACCTGGTCTCAAGAGCTAGTTCCAGAACAGGCTCCAAAGCTACAGAGAAAACCCTGTCTCAAAAATAAATAAATAAATAAAATAAAGATGTTTTTGATGTAAAAATTGGGAGAAAACATTTGACATTTGTTTTTGCCAGAGGTTAATGTTGGAGGATGGGAAAAACTTGTTAGTATGGCAAAACATGCTTGATTCTTGTTTTTTATGTATAGAAAAGACAGGGCTGTAGCTATTCACTTGCGTGAAACTCATCTGCTAGTTGGACAGTTCATTTCTTCACGGCGACACACCTTCCCTGTCTCAGGACCTGAACACAGGCTGCGCACAAAAGCAGCAGATGCCATTTCTAGAAGTTCAAATGAAGGAGGGAAGGAGAGTCTTAAAACAAAGTTTACCACCTTTAGAATCTCTGCTTTTACATTGTGAGGTAGGCAGTGTATGAGTATCATCTTCTGCGGTTCTTTTTCTGGAATTGGAGCATTCCGATGCACTGTGCTGAAAGGGAAGGGTGTCTATCAGTACAGCAGAAATGACTAAGACCAGGGGATGTAGCAGTTCCATTCTGGCTCACCAGTTAGTGTGCAACACAATGGGTTATGCACAAGAAAGAGAGCTCTGCAGCTGACAAGAGTTGTCAAGTAAAGCAACACAACACCTCTCAACACCACGAGAAGAGCTAGCAGGATCCCAAACTTGGGGAAGGAATAACCTCTGTACAAAGGACAAAATACACTCTTAAAAAACAGGTTGTCTGCACAGCCTACTTCATATTAGGCCTAATTCAGAAAGCATGTGACATCCTCACCATATTCCACGATGATCTTAAAGTTTCCCCAGGTTTGAGGAAACTTTAGGAAATGGTATGACATGAACTGAACTGCAACAAGCCTGCTACAATCTAATACAGCAATTCCTCAAAAACCCAATATGTACCATCTTAAACACATGCATGCACGCGCACACACACGCGTGCAAACACACACACACACACACAAGAGAGAGAGAGAGAGAAAGAAACAGAGAGACAGAAAGACAGAAAGAAAAAGAGCAACTGGAAGAAGTGAAAATCAGAAGTGCTACATCCCAAAGACACATTCAGAGACTGGAACTCTGTTAAAGGCAGAACAGAGAAGGTTCACTCTGTCCCTGGTCTGTGAACTCCCAAGGACTTTTCTTACTAAATTCTTACCACATTCACGAAAAGGCCTTGGGAGCCCAAGATCCACAGGTACAGAGAAGGGGCCACTCTGTACAAGAAAAGAAGTCACCACATGGTGATTTTACCTTCAGTCGGTCTTGACTTGGAATATCCATACTGTGATCCTGTGCGAGAGCGAGAGTCTGAGCAGCATCTGGATAGCAAGTAAAACAAAAGAAAACCTTCCCTGGTAATAACCATTCTTTCCACAAAACCTCAGCAGACAGCCCTGAGGAGGCTTCTTCTCTATAGATGGACTTCTGCCTGGAAAAGACTCTCAGTCCCAAGATGGGGGAAAAAAAAAACCAAAACTGCTAAAAACGACAAAAGCCAAGACAGGCCATGGTAAAAGATAACACCAGAACAATCTGGGGGAAGCAAAAGTAGCCAAAGATGCTCTTCCATGGCACGTGTTCAGATTCCTATGCAAAAAGTGATCTCAAGCAGAAAACAATGCAGTGTTCATCTCTTCCGGTAGCAACAAAGGTAACTGTTTATTTGAGTTTGTATTTTTAAGGGCTGTACTACAAGATCTGAAAACCAGAAATTTGCCAGACTTGTCTCAGAAAACAGTTCCATCTTCAAGTTAACCTTGAACCTGCATTCTTAAATGCCAATGGTGATTTCATGATCTGACTTCTAATCCCTGAGTACAGACTGGAAGTGAATGCTTCTCTCTGAACAATCACCAGGAGCAGAGAGAGAGGGGGAGTGGAGAACACAGTTGAGAGAAATTCTTTGTCTTTAGATTTTTCTTTTTTTTTTACAATATTTATTTATTTGTATGTGCACAATATTCTGTCTGTGTGTATGCCTGCAGGCCAGAAGAGGGCACCAGACCCCATTACAGATGGTTGTGAGCCACCATGTGGTTGCTGGGAATTGAACTCAGGACCTTTGGAAGAGCAGGCAGTGCTCTTACCCTCTGAGCCATCTCCAGCCCTAGATTTTTCTTGTCTACTGTTATTGTGTATAACGGGCACACTTGCACTATGAAGGTCAGAAGACAACTTTGGGGGTTCATGTCATCAGGCTTGCACAAGTCCTCTAACCCACTGAGCCATCTCACATTAGCTGAAGAGGGAAATACACCCCAAAAACTTACAAAAGTCTCAAGTGAAACAAAACCTGGCATGACTACAAGACATGACTACAGAAAAGAACAAGCTACTGAGACGCTGACACAATTACTATAAGCTCCGTGTAACTGAGACACACTCAACTGTGACTGCTGAGGACGGGATACAGCAGCCACTAGCAGAGCCAGAAAGGTGAGTTCACGGAAAGCAGCAGCAACATCCACCTGACTGCTGAGAACTCAGGTCCAGACTCTTAACTACTCTGACAACTCAGTCGGTTTTTAAAAAACGAACATTTTTCAAAATTGTAACATTTCTATAGCTAAGTGAGGACAAGTTCAGAGACAGCATTTTCTGGCCAAAGTCATCTTCAAAGCAAGATCAAACTAATGCAATGCAGGTGAAGTTGCTCTCTTAAAAAAAAAAAAAGCCACCTGTGGTCATCACTTGTATTACTAAAAAGCCTTACCTTAGGCCAAACTACTTAAAAGGAAAAAGAAATTATCTAAAACAATGTAGAAAGAAAATTCAAACAAAGTTTGTTATATCTATTTCATCTTATTAGTGTACCTGGGAAAAGCTGGAGAAATTATTTAGAAAGAACTATCTTCATTTTAAATAATGACCATTTTCTTCAACAATCAAAATAGATAAAGGTCAATCCAGCACTCAGGGAGGCCAGCCTTGTCTACAGAGTGAGTTTAGGACAGCCAGGGCTGTTAGAGAAACCCTATCTCAGATGGAGGGGGGAGGATAAATAAATGAATAAAGGTGTAAACCACTTGTGATGGTGCAGAAGTTATACGGAAAGCACCTTTTCCATTTGTCTCTTCGGGTCAACAGAGACATCTAACCATAAGTACCAACTATAAAAAGCAAGTCAGAGCAGACAATCCAAACTTCTTGCAAAATTCTCTATGAAACCCTACATACATACATTTAAAAATGTGTACCAATACATTTTTTTAATACTTGAAATAGTTCCTTGTAGTCATTTTCTAGGGATCAGTATGTTATGATTATGTTAAATATTACCAGTGAGGGAATCTGGATAAAGAGTAATACTTTAGTACTTCTTCCTTTTCCCTAAGACTGGGTAGCTATATAGCCAACACTAGACTGGAACTTTAGATTCTCCATCTCTGCCTCCCAAGCAATGGGGTTACATTACAGGTGTTCACACTCTATCAGGATTCTACGACTTTTAAAAAAAGTACAAAATTTCTTCAGAATGACGAGTTAAATAAAAAAATTTCAACAACTTAATATTAAGAGGAAAAATGTGTATCCAAAAAACTGGAGAGATGGATCAGAGGTTAAGAGCATTGACTGCTCTTCCAGAGGTCCTGAGTTCAATTCCCAGCAACCACATGGTGGCTCACAACCATCTGTAATGAGATCTGGTGCCCTCTTCTGGCCAGCAGGCATATATGCAGTCAGAACACTATCTGTACTAAGTAAATCTCAAAAAAAAAAAAAAACTAACTGAGGCAAACTGAAGAGGAGACAGTTTCACTATCCAGAAAGAGTGTCACACACATCACTACCTGACCACTTTGGAAACCAGACTCCAAAAAGCCAGTTTTCTCCTCATAACTAATAAATTCAAAGGCAGTATTTAAAAGGTCTGGAAAGAGTCAAATTGGCTTGGAGAGAACAATTTATTGAGCCAAATGTAGTGACTCATGCCTGGGATCGCAACATTTATGAGGTCAGGATAGGCAGTTACGTCCAAGTTTGAGGCTAGCCTGGGGTACACAGTAAGTTCCAAGCCAACCTGAACTACAATGTATGACTCTGTCTCATAAATAAGTAAAGAAATGTATGTTACGTAAACAAATTACTAAAATCATGAAAGGGGAAATTTCTTGGGAGAACCTTTATAAAACTACCAAGAGTCCACAGAATCATATGTGAAAGAGGGACAGGCTTATGTAACTAATGTGAGATGTATAAAGGGGAAAAAAAGAAGTCCAAAGCACCATCAGTGAAGATCTGACAGCAAAGAAATCTAAACCTGAATCTATACAAGCATTATTCTAAAACAGCAAGGGTAAAGAAACACAACCACAAGGATACAATCCACCAATTCTAGAACACAGGCAATCCTACAAATTACCCAAATCTTCAGCAAATATGATGAAAACCAAAAGGAGTATTCCATACCACAATACAGTGAACACAGTAATTTACTAAATATTTTAATAGCTAGAGGTGAAGATTTTTTTAATGCCTCCAACATACACAAAAAGCTAAACTTGAGATGGTAGGCATGTTACTTCTCCCAAATTGATCACTGAACATCTGTATGTAACAAAATACATGGAACCCCACAAATATGTACAATTATGTGAATTCAAAAAGGTTATCAATTTAGTCAAACCAAATCTCTCACATACACCCACACACACAAAAAAGGCAAGTTAGTTTTTTGTTTTTTGCAATTATTCTCAGTCCAATATATGGACTTTGGTTCCTCACCTGAATAAACCAAAAATAAAAGGTATTTTTAAGATGACTGAGGAAAAACTACAAACTAGCTTATTCAATAGGATGAGGAAACATTTATTAATTTTATTATTACTTATGAGTACAGTAAAGATGTGATTATGTTTGAAAAGAAAAAATCCCTATCTGAGAGATTTTTTAAGTATATAAAGATGAAGCAAATACATAACCCTTGTTCATAATTACTAAATTTAAGCTAGGCCTGCTTTCACAGATCAGGAAATACAGCTACTAGAAGACAGAGGCAGGGGAATCCACAAATTCCAGGCCTTCCTGGGCAACTTAAGGAGAAACTGTCTCAAAAAAGTAAACAGAAAGCTAGACATGTAGGTCAGGGTTAGAGTATATAAATACAGGCCCTAGGCTCAATCCCCTATGACGCATAGGGAAAAAAACTTATGTCTACAATGTAGGCATCTCTCCTAGCTTCAGTATGATGTAATGTATCAGTGAGAACTTACTCAACAATAAAACCATTCTGCATGAGTTATACATACATCCCTCCCAGTCATAACAGACAGCACTCCATTTTCATCTTAACCCTTGTTCCCGCCATTTGCTTCCTTAAACTCAAAGCTTCAATACAGACTGAAGAAACATACAACATACCTGTGTTAACAGAGGCTGATGTGACAAGATTCTTTCTCAACATATCATAGAGCGGGCTATAAAAGAAACAACATATATTTGTGGGTTTTTTTAAGTATACATTAAATATACCTGTGATATGTTACCTTTCTACTTTCTCTTAGGTAAACAGACAAAACCCTTTTTCCACAATTTTTTAGTAATTTATATATTAAGAAGGAACCAGGCACCAGGCAGTGGTGGCTCAAGCCTTTAATCTCAGCACTCTGGATGCAGAGACAGGAGGACCTGTGAGTTCAAGGCTAGTCTGGTCTACAGAGTGAGTTCCAGGGCAGTCAAGGATACACAGAGAAACTTTATCTCAAAAAAACAACAACAAAAAACAAACAAAAAGAGGAGCCTCACTTAGTGCTGCTTGCATCAAACCCCAGCATTTGGGAGGTTCTTCAGGCTGGAAGATCAAGTTCAAGATTATTTGCTAGAAACCAGGTAATATAGTCTGTGTTTAATCTCTTGGAAACATCCCATTCTATTGGGCATTTTTTTAAAAGTTTTATTCATTTATTTATTTATTTTGTTTACAGTGTTCTGTCTGCATGTATGCCTGCAGGCCAGAAGAGGGCACCAGATCTCATTACAGATGGTTGTGAGCCACCATGTGGTTGGTGGGAATTGAACTCAGAACTTCTGGAAGAACAATCAGTGCTCTTAACCTCTGAGCCATCTATCCAGCCTCCTCTACTGGGCATTTTTATCTGTGAATTGTCAAGATAATTCTTCCAAGATGTACTATCTAATTGATAATAATTATAGCTTAAACAGAGTTTTGACAAACAAAAATACAAGGAAATGCTACATAGCCAGGGCCTGTGAGTTTCACCTAAGGAGCTGCATGGATTGTAGCTCAAATTAATAATTAACAATTGAGTCCCACCAGGCAGTAATCCCAGCACGCCTTTAATCCCAGCACTTGGGAGGCAGAGGCAGGTGGATCTCTGTGATTGAGGCCAGCCTGGCCTACAAGAGTTAGTTCTAGAACAGGCTCCAAAGCTACAGAGAAACCCCGCCTCGGAAAACAAAAACAAACAAACAAATGAAAAGAAAAAACAAAACAAATGAGTCCCAGTAGCCCGCTAGTTTAAATTCTTTAAACTTTAATGTTACAAGAAGCGTTCACAGGTCTAGGAGTGTATCACAACTGAAACAAAGCTTTAAAAATAACTAAGTTAACTAAGATGTTTTCGTTAAATAACATTGAGGTGAAAAACCCAAGAAGACAATCTAAAGTTTTAGAAAGGCACAGAGTTAAATGCAGAACTCTTTAAAGTCAGGGAACAAGAACAAAGTAGCCCAACTATTAATAGCTGATTAATCCTTGCTTGGTTTGGCTGATGATCAAAGGTGATGATTAATTCCTTATACCCATTTCTGCCCTCAATCTCCTACTATTGATTGAGTGGGTATACACCCTAAAGATTTAAAGTAGAGCTGACAGATGCTATTTCATATATTAAAGTTTAGGCTTGTGATTTCTTTAAGATTCCTTGTAAGATTACCTTTCTAGATCAGTAATAAAGTAATTGGTCCTTTCTTCATAACTTCAAAATGCAGCCTGCCAGTAAAATACCTGACTGAGAAGAATACCTTCTTCTTGGGTATGAATGTACTGAGTTTTTGGGATAATTTGTTTTTACCTGTAATACGCAAAATGTTTAACCATGTAAGGGACATGGGAAACACGCTTTCTTTTTTTCTTTTTACTGTTTTTGTAGTCACTGTAATCATTTACTTGAACAACAGAATAACCACACTGTAATTCCTATATTGCCCGAAAAAACTTTGTTGGATATATAAACTGTAGGAAAAGTATACAGTAGAAAGAACAGAGAGAGAACAGAATAAAGAAGGAAGCCACCAAGAGTGTCTTTTTCCCTAAATTCCCTCAGACGGAAAAGTCTTAGCCTATGCCGATTCCGTGGATTCCTTTCAAAGCCCTGGGCTGCTGGATGCTGGGCCCCCAGACAACAGTAGTTAATTATTAACAGCATACTGATTTTGAGCCTACCTTAGGCTAATGTGAGACCCTGTTTAAAAAACCAAAAAGAAATGAACATCCAGTCAATGCTATTTTGTCCCCAGTAAAATTTGATCAAATTTTATTTTATTAACTATTAGTTAACCCAACTGGGAGACTGCCTTTGAAAATCAATTTCTCCTTCTAGATATCAAGTTTGACATCAGCGATTGAGAAATGTGAGTGTGAAAAGAAGCTTCAGAAGAAGCACTCACTATTAAAGAGAGTGAGAGTGGGACAGACAGATGGCTCAGCTGAAGAGCACTGCCTGCTCGTACAAAGAAACAATTCAATTGTCAGCACCCACATGGTGGCTCACATCCATCTGTAGCGTCAATTCCAGGGGATCTGACACCCTCTTCAGCAAACATAAACATGGGACACAGACATACACATGCAGGCAAAACACTCAAACACATGAAATAAAACTTTAAATTAAAAAAAAAAAATGGGGGCTGGAGAGATGGCTCAGCGGTTAAGAGCATTGACTGCTCTTCCAAAGGTCCTGAGTTCAATTCCCAGCAACCACATGGTGGCTCACAACCATCTGAAATGAGATCTGATGCCCTCTTCTGGCCTGCAGGCAGACACACAGACAGAATATTGTATACATAATAAATAAATAAATATTTAAAAAAATAAAATAAATAAAAATGTTTTAAGAACACTAGCTTCTCAGTTAAGCCAATGACCCTACACACCACCATGTAAGCAAAGAACACCATATAGGTCAAATTTACTCTACTCAATTCTTACTAAATTCACCAAGAACCTCAAACTGCCCTGTAGTTCTGTATTTTTCTTATCAGCTCGTACTTCTTCCTTTCTCTCTAATACCTCACAGACTTCTAACCTAGTGATGCTCACTCCTATTCAACCTATATACAAGATATTCAATCAGAAGCTCTCCTTCCAATCAGTCCCTTTGCTTCTTTTTTTTTTAAAATATTTATTATGTATACAATATTCTGTCTGTATGCCTGAAGGCCAGAAGAGGGCACCAGACCTCATTACAGATGGTTGTGAGCCACCATGTGGTTGCTGGGAATTGAACTAAGGACCTTTGGAAGAGCAGGCAATGTTCCTAACCTCTGAGCCATCTCTCCAGCCCCAAACTTTGCTTCTTTAAGGCACCTCTGACACTCCATTTCCCATTTCATGTATTTCTCTTCCATAGCTCTTACTGTCATGTTATTTTACCATGTATGAAGACTATACTGTATGTACCATCAAATCAGACTGCCCACACTGCTCACTACTGAACTTTGGACGTATCTCACTGGCTATATTTAACACATTCATCCCCTAAAATACTAAAACTAAAAAGGTATACAGCTAGAGTGAGCAGGTAAAAGCACTCAAAGATATGTAATAAACCCTTGCCCTTTTTACCTTGGATCTTTCACAGAAAAGCTCTGACGTCCAAGCAGATCTCCTAAAAGATCTCCACCACAATATACCATATGTTGCTGCTGTTGATCATAGAGTTGCTTCACCATTATATACTGGCCTAGAAAGTGCATTACCTACATGAGAATAAAACACCATGAAATGATCCACCTGGCTACTACCAAAACCATAATTACCCATGAGTGACTTAGATATTTTGTAAAAGAGAAAGACAATACAAGACTGCCAGTGTTTGAATGCTGATGGCATATAAGCAATCCCCTATCAGGATAGATGTTTCCTACTACTAGGTTCATATACTCATCCATCAACAGACCAAAAAATACTGATCTGTCAGTGAAAAAAAAAAATGTGGCAAGGTAGTGTTCTATTGGCAAAGGTCCAATGGTTTAATGAACCATCAGTCCTAATATAAAAATCAGAGCTGGGTGGTGGGGGCACACCCCTTTAATCCCAGCACTGGGAAGGCAGAGGTAGATAGTTCTCTGAGAGTTTGAGACCAGCCTGGCCTACAAAGTGAGTTCCAGAACAGCCAGGACTACACAAAGAGACCCTGTCTTAAAAAAAAAAAAAAAAAAAAAAAAAAAAAAAAAACTAGGTCTTTAACAAATAAAAATGTAGTCTATCTAGCTTTTCCTTTACACGTTTCAAAAGCTCAAAAGATTCTAAACTTGAAAAGTACCCTTTTACATGTAGATGAAGCATAACATAGAACTTTTATTATATAATCTAGGTTGATACACTGTTTGCCAATAAACTTGGATAAATTTTTTTTAATATTTATTTATTTATTATGGATACAATATTCTGTCTGTGTGTGTATGCCTGCAGGCCAGAAGAGGGCACCAGACCCCATTACAGATGGTTGTAAGCCACCATATGGTTGCTGGGAATTGAGCTCAGGACCTTTGGAAGAGCAGTCAATGCTCTTAACCTCTGAACCATCTCTCCAGCCCCCAAACCTGGATAAATTTTATGACAAACAGAAAGGGAGGGAATGAAAGGAAAAAGGGAAGAGATGGGGGAGGACAGAGATATCTACTGAAATATTTTTAATGCTGCCATTATTTATTTCCCTTCTACCCTCCCACTTGACCCTGAAGTTTTTTAAAGGTAGGTTAAAAAAACAAAACAAAACAAAAAAACACTTTTTACTCAATAATTCAGTTCTTGTTAAATATCACAAGCAAGTAAAAATCATCTGCAGTCTTGGCAACAGTACTAATAGATATGGCACTTCTAAGAAAAACTAAAAGAGCGCCATAATTTTGTTTTCTGCTAAGGAAAGGTGAAGAATCTACCATACTAACTGCAATTGTTCGAGTACACTAACATTTTATACTATTTTCCACTTAAAGAATTCAATGTACTTTGATAGTTTAAAAAAAGAGCTTCAAGATACTAAGTAAGGGGCTGAAGAGATGGCTCAGTGGTTAAGAGCATTGCCTGCTCTTCCGAAGGTCCTGAGTTCAATTCCCAGCAACCACATGGTGGCTCACAGCCATCTGTAATGAGATCTGGTGCCCTCTTCTGGACTACAGGCATACATGCAGACAGAATATTGTATACATGATAAAATAAATAAATATTTAAAAAAAAAAGATACTAAGTAAGTTATTTGAAGTCCTAAACGTTCAAAATGACTCAATGCTCAGAAAGTATCTGACAAATGTACAATGACAAAGTTACTGCATCAAATTCCTACCTGGCAACAAATCTGTGACTTTTTTTTCACCCACACGTTTTGTATTATAACTCCCAGGTCAATGAATTTGCAGTTGACCACAAACATATATACATCAAAAGGAACTAACTCTAAGGGAAACAGGAAATTAATAAGGCAAATGCTCTCCTTCAGTAACACAACTTCCTTCCTTAGCCCAGATTTCAGAACTGTGCATATGATGGCCTCTACTCAACTGTTCTTAAAATTGGAACTGTCTTTGATAGCTTACCTCTTTCATAGTGAATACTTCACCTTGAGCACCTGCTGCCTGCAAAATCTTCAAAAGTGGCAGTTTTGGTCGTACCTGCTGTAAACATAAAACAAGACAGAATTTTGATGTACCTGACAGATCTGGAACCTATGTAATAGAAGATGATCTTGAACTCTAGATTCTCCTGCACAAAGCCAGCATAAAGCTGCTATTTATATTTCAATTACATCGGTTTCTGAAAAAAACAAAAACAAAAAAAAAAAACTCTAGGAGACACTTGCTGCCTTTCTGATAAAACACAATGGGAAATCTATTCTTCTCTACAAGGATGACAATAATGATACCTTTTTAAGGAAAGTCGCTGTTGGTAATGAAACAAGAAAACTAGAATCTGATGGAAATAAAATGGTGTAACTGCTATGGAGAAAAAAAAAGTTGGCAATCCTTGGAAAGATAGCTTATCAGTTAAGAGCACTGGCTGTTCTTACAGCAATGCCCTGCACTCAGGCCTCACAATTGTAGCTCCAGTTCCAAGATATCTGACATTCTTTTCTGGCCTTGGTTAGCACCACACACACCTGTGAGGCACAGGCATATATGCAGGCAAAACACTCAAACACTGTTGGGCAGTGGTGGCGCATACTTTTAACCCCAGGACGCATTGAGGCAAAGGCAGGTGGATCTCTGTGAGTTCAAAGCCAGCCTGGTTTACAAAGCTAGTTTCAGGACCGGCTCCAAAACTACAGAGAAATCCTGTATCGGGGGAGAAGAAAAAAAACAAAAACAAACACCAACAACAAACACTCAAAAATAAAATTTTTAATTAAAAAATAAATAAATAAAATAGACAAAAAATAAAAAATGAATAAACAGATTTATCAAAGAACACACCAATTCCACTCCTAGGTATCTATAAAACAACCTGAAAGGTTGTGGGGAAAGACACTGGTTGTACACTTTCCAATCCCACACTTGGGGACACAGGCAAGAAGATCTTTAGTTTGAGGCCAGTCTGGTCTACAAGTTCCAATATAGCCAGGAACGCATAGAGACTCTCATCTCTTAAGAGAGAGACAGACAGACAGACAGACACAGACTAACCAACCGACCGACCCTGAAAACCGGACCCAGACTAGTATTCCAATGAAAATCAGTAAATTGCTAGGCAGTGGTGGAGCACGCCTTTAGTCCCAGCACTTGGGAGGCAGAGACAGGCTGATCTCTGTGAGTTCGAGGCCAGCCTGGTCTACAAGAGCTAGTTCCAAAGCTACAGCTATAGAAACCCTGTCTCAAAAAAAAAAAAAAAGAAAAGAAAAGAAAAAAAATAGAAAATAGAAAATCAGTAAGTTGATAAACAGTATATGTTGTGTACAACCACCATTTCACTAACTATGGAGTTTGTCAGATCTTTAGCCAATTAAGTGTCTTTGTTTTTTCAGATATTAAAAAATTAAAACGAAAACTGAAACACTGAAAAAAGACAGTATGTCCATTTACTGCTCTGCCATCCTATTACATACATTCACACTAGCTGGATTAACTTTATCTTATACATTTTGTGTATTATTTGCCTCTATTCATACACTTTTGCATCCTGTATCTTTTATTTAAAATGTCCTGTTTTCCCATAAAATAAAATAAATCATTTAAAAAAGATGGCAGTTTACAACTGTCTGTAACTCCAGTTCCAAGGGGATCTGACACCCTCATACAGACATACGCAGGCAGAACACCAATAGCCATAAAATAAAATAAATCATTAAAATGTCCTGTTTTGACAGTATTCATTACTCATTTTTGTATGCTGCTTAAAATTGATCTTAGAACCCCACACAAACTAGACAAGTACTCTACAGTCAAACTATCTTCTCCGTCCCCTTACTAATTTTAATGAACACATAATGTCCCATTCTTATGTAGCAGTTTATTATTTATTTAAACCAAGGAATAGCAAACACTGTTCTGAATTTACAAAAAGGTTGCTTTTCCCCCTTATCTCCCCTTTCTTTATTTTGGCAGCTCTGAGGATCTAATCCTGAGTCCTGCACATCCAAGGCAAGTGCGCGCTCTGGAGCCCTGCTGTAAAAGGTTATACTAGAATATTACCATGCCTATGAGTTTACATTTTGTTTAAGGTTACAGTACTGAAGGGTTAAGACACAAACTTTACAACCTGCAAAGTCTAACATATTTGTTTTCTGGCCCTATAAGAAAGTCTGTTGACTCCTATCCTAAATTTCAAGTGGTTCATAATTTGTGCTATTAAAAGTAATGCTACTTGGAAGCTGGGTGGTAGTTCACCACTGTAATCAGCTCTTAAGAGAGCCAAGTTCACTAGGCAATGGTGGTGCACACCCTTAATCCCAGCACTCAGGAGGCAGAGGCAGGCAGATCTTTGTAAGTTCGAGGCCAGCCTGGTCTACAAGAGCTAGTTCCAGGACAGGCTCCAAAGCTACAGAGAAACCCTGCCTCAAAACAAAACAAAAAGAGAGAGAGAGAGAGAGAGAGAGAGCAAGAGCGAGCAAGCGCACACGCCAAGTTCAAGTAGTTCATCCTTGGCTACAGAACCGGTAAGTCATCCTAGGCCACGACACCTCGCTTCAAAAGAAAAAAAAGTATGCTACTTGAAAAATCATCACACATATAATTTCTTATACTTTGGACAAACCTACCTAGAGTATTAAAGAAAGTGGAGCAGCTGGAAGATGGGAGATGGATGAGTCTGTAAAGCGCTCACTACACAGGCATAATGACCTGAGTTCATTCAGATTTCCAGCACCCACACAGAAAGTCATATGTGGTAGGCTGTGACAAACAGACCCTTCTGGAACTCACTGGCCACTCCAGCTCAATCACAGAGCTATAGATTAAATAACAGACCCTGTTTTAAATAATAGAGTACAACTGAGGAAGACAAGTTTTTTTGAAATTTTGATCGCCACATACAGATGAACACATACACATGGGAAGGGTGTCAAGTAACTTAGAGTAGTTAATCCATATATATAATAAATATAAAACCATATATGTATATTTTATACACACAAGAATCTCAGTTGTCCAACCTGCCTTAAATTCACTCTGCAGGCCAAGCAAGCTTTAAACTTTGATCTTCCAGCTTTAGCCATCCAGGTAGTTGGGATTATAGGACTATACCATCAGAACCTTCAATAAAAACATTTTAAGGCTAATACTACTCCCATCTTCCTTAATGCTTTAGCTATAAAGATAATGGTAGAATGAAAAGGACCCAGTACTCTTCAGGTGGAAAAGAATCCATGAAATTCCATTCCAATCAGAAGACAGAGCACTGAATAAGGAAAGGCTGCAGTCTCAACATGAGCTAGCTAGCAGCAGGTGACAGAAATGAACTGAGGCATCCTGGGCATAAGCCTGAATACAAGAGTAATTAAGCTGTCTCCATGTAAGAAAGTTCTACAGCCAACTACCTATATTTCTGAGTAATAAAGATTCTTCTATATAGAAAAAGTTTTATTCTTTAAAAAACAAAAACAAACGAACAAACAAAAAACCCAAGGCGGCTGGGGATATATAGTTCAGTGGTAGAGCACTTGGCTAGCATGCATGAGGACTAAACTCAATCCCTTGAATAGGAAGGACAGGCAAAAAGACAGTAACAAAATTTAAGGAATGGGATCAATTTAAATTAACCCTATTATCAGGTAGTGGTGCATGCCTTTAATCCCCTTTAATTCCAGTACTCAGGAGGCACAGGCAGGTGGATTTCTGAGTTTGAGGCCAGCCTGGTCTACAGAGAGAGTTCCAGGACAGCCAGGGCTACACAGAGAAATCCTGTGTAGAAAAAAAAAAAAAAAATCTCAGAGATTAACCCTATCTCTGAGAGGAAAGACAAAACAGGCTGATGAGTCTCAGGGATAGGGTTTTCTCTAAATCAAACAAATTTTATCCAAATTCGTTTGGATAAAATAAGTATCAGAAAAATTAGCTATCATCTTCTAGGGGAACAGTCTGAGATCTTGGCAGCATCAGTAAGTTTATAATACACGATTCTATTATAGAAATGGAAAGCCTACTTTTGAGTTGGCTTCAACACTTCCTCATTGCTATGCAGGAAGCCGACAGGTGCAGGCCCAGGAGTCTGTCTCCGTTGCCCTCTATCTCTCTAACACGACAGATGAGCTAAAGTTTTTCTAACTCCCAGTTTGCTTCATGTTATATTAACTTCTGTACCAATCCACTATATCTAACACCATCATCTCCAAACACTCAGGAGGTCTAGACTAAACCTACTACTCTCCTCCAAGCCGGTCCCTTGGTATGTTATACAATTCTGTTATTTTTTTATTTTTGTTTTATTTAAAATAAGGTCTCTATTATTATGTAGCTCAGACTCAGAGATCCACCTGTCTCTACCTCCTGAGTGCTGAGATTATAAAAACCTGCATCACTTCACCCAGTCCAATTGTTTTAGACTGTATATTATCAAGTTTGTATCTTTTCCTTTTATAGCCACCTCTTTCACTCTAAAGTTTCACAAATATTTCTATCTTCTCTCAATGTCTTAACTTTTTACATTTAAATCCTTAGTCTACCTTGAATTTGTTTTTCCAAAGATGTCTGATTATCACAAAATAATTCTTTTATAAAATTAATTTATACTGGGGGCTGGAGAGATGGCTCAGTGGTTAAGAGCACTGATTGCTCTTCCAGAGGACCCGGGTTCAATTCCCAGCACCCACATGGCAGCTCACAACTGTCTGAAGATTCAGTTTCAGGGGATCTGACACCTTCACACCAATGCACATAAAATAAAGTTAAATAAACCATAAAAAATATTTAAAAAAAAAAAATTAATTTATACTATATCTTTCCTTCAATTCTAGATTCTACTTTCACCTTATATAAAGGTACAGAAACATGAAGAAATGTTTCTGAAAACACAAAAATAAAGTAATTTTTAAAAGATATTTATTTACTACACACACACACACAGTGTTCTGTCCGCCTGCACGTATGTCTGCAAATCAGGAAACGGCACCAGAACTCACTCATTACAGATGGTTGTGAGCCACCACGTGGTCACAGGAAATTGAACTCAGAACCTCTGGAAGAGCAGCCAGGGCTCTTAACTGCTAAGACATCTCATCAGCCTGAGCCATCTCTCCAGACCTAAACTAAAGCAATTTTTTTTCCCAGTTTTTCAAGACAGGATTTCTCTGTGTAACAGCCCTGGCTGTCCTGGAACTTGTTCTTGTAGACCAGGCTGGCCTCAAACTCACAGAGATCCACCTGTCTCTGCCTCCCAAACGCTGGGATTAAAGGCATGCACCACCACTGTCTGGCTAACTAAACTCATTTTTTTTGTTCTGAGGGCTGGAGAGATGGCTCAGTAGTTAAGAGCACTGCCTGCTCTTCCAAAGGTCCTGAGTTCAATTCCCAGCAACGACATGGCAGCTCACAACCATCTGTAATGAGATCTGGTGCCCTCTTCTGGCCTGCAGGCCAGGCAGATCACTGTATACATAATAAATAAATCTTAAAAAAATAAAAATAAATAAATAAAAAATAAAGTAAAAGGTCTGGGGCTGGAGAGATAGCTCAGCAGTAAGATCACTGTCTGTTCTTCCATAGGACCCAGGTTCAACTCCTAGCACCCACATGGCAGTTTACACTGTAGTTCTACCTCCAGGGGATTTGAAGCCCATTCACATAAGCAAAATATCAATGTACATAAAATAAAAATAAGTATCATTCAAAAGAAAGAGCACTTGTTGCTCTTCTAAAGGACCTGGGTCTGGTTCACAGCACCACCTACACAATGGCTCACAATCATCTGTAACTCCAGTCCCAGAGAAGCCCTCTTCTTCAAAGGAACCACATGCATGTGCTTCATAGACACACATGCAGGCAAACACTCATACACATACAATAAAAATAAATCTTTAAAAAAAAAATCTGTCTGCAATAGGATACACCAAATCTGAGGAGATGGTCAAGAGTCTATATCCACAAATGCCTAAAGACAATAGTCTTTATAAGAATACATTTACTATATTCATAGTTTAAGGTAGCCTTTTAAATAAAACCAACTAGTCTGACCGAGTGGCACATGTCTGGAATCCCAGCACCTGGGAAAAAGACAGGAGGATCAATCAAGTTCAAAGCAGCCTGGTTTACAAAGGACATTCCAGGTCAGCTAGGGCTGACCAGTACAGGAATACAACCTGTGTCTTTCTTTCTCAAACCACAAAAGTAAACTGCACAAACAAAAAGAAAAATCAACGAATTACAATCAGCTGAGACAAAAACGAACTTAGACAACCTGGTCCCAAATTCCCTAGTACCCACTTCTAACCTAAAACACATTCCTAGTTTAACAAAATGTAAGAATTAAACAAGCGGGGGGCTGGAGAGATGGCTCAGAGGTTAAGAGCATTGCCTGCTCTTCCAAAGGTCCTGAGTTCAATTCCCAGCAACCACATGGTGGCTCACAACCATCTGTAATAGGATCTGGTGCCCTCTTCTGGCCTGCAGGCATGCACACTGACAGAATATTGTATTCATAATAAATAAATAAATATTTTTAAAAAAAAAGAATTAAACAAGCAAGGGGCATAAGAAATGAAAATCTTAGCCATTTCAAGCTGTAACTTTCAAAAAGGTAATATAAGATTTTACAACGTTGCTGGGCAGTATAAGGCAAAAGCAAGCAGATCTCTGTGAGTTCAGGTCAGCCTGGTCTATCTACAGTGATTTCCAGAACAGCCAGGGCTGTTACACAGAGAAACGCTGTCTTCAAAAACAACAACAAAAAAAGATTTTACAACATCATCACTTCTGCTTTCATCAAATTATAATCAGTGAATTCAGCCATACATCTCAAGTCAATTTCTTAAAAATTTTACCAAAAAATTAAAATACCCAATACTCATTACCTGACTGATTCTTTCTGAAGATATTCTGCAAGCACTGTCAGATGTTGAGCACTGGGCAGAGGTGGAATGTGATGTCATTTTGGCAGTGAAGACTCTGCAGTCAACGAACTAAAAGGAAAATATATATATATATATATAAATGTAAAGTAGAAGAAACAATTCGGGCATGGTGGCACACACCTTTAATACCAGCACTTAGGAGATGATCTTTGTGAGTTCAAGACCAGCCTGGTCATACAGCAAATCTAAGGACAGCCAGGGCCTATATATAGAAACCCTTTCTCCAAACAGAATGAAAAAGAAGACAAAACTGCCAAAAAAGAAGACAAAAAATATACAGTTTAAAAACAACAACAAAAAAAAATCTGACAAATACACATATATCTCTGCACAAATACAAAACACTCACACTGAGATTCTCAATCTCTAGCTCAGATCCAGCACAAACGCTGGAGACTAAACCATCCAAACCTCACTCAGGTGAATCCTGAAATAGACAGGTTTGGACATGTTCCACTTTCAGGGCTGATGCTAATGAGTGAGTTGTTCTAGCTGAAAGTCAAATATCCAATCACTGCTTCCCCGCTGGCTGTCAGTTGGTACCAGTAACTCTTAAGCACAGTGCTTAAGATAAGAACTAGAGACACAGCTGGAAAATCACCAGGACTGGTGTTCCAACATGCCTGGACAAGAAACCACACAGGAAAGTGAGCCTGGTAATCTTGGTAGGGCACATTGGTAATCTCAGCATTTGGGAGTTCAAGGCCAGCCTGAGGTACACAATAAGACCTTCTCAAATACAAAAAGTTTTTAAAAATACATTTTCAGTATCACTTAGAGGAGTTTCTAAAAGAATCAAACTCAATTAGGTCAGAAGTTGCTTCCTTGGAGATTTTGCTGACTCCAAGAAGGGGAAAGTTATGATACCAGAACTAAGACATTTATTTAAGAAGTTGTGAGAATATATATATGACACTCACAAGGCCCTTAGTTTAGTCCTCATCAATGCTGACCCCTGACAACCTCATGAAAAAAAAAATATGCCCCTACTAGCTTGAAACCAGAGTAGAAAGCCTGGTTTTCTCAATGTTAAGTGGTTTCTAACCTACATTTAGTCTAAGGAACTTCTATATCTCATCTTGAAATGCCTGCCTTTGAAAACAATGGTAATTTTTATTTTTAAAGACAGTTTCACTATGTAGTCTTGGCTTGGCTGGAACTCACTTTGCTGACCAAGCTAACCTTGTTTTAAGAGATCTGTCTGCCCCTGCCAGAATTAAAAGTATGCAACACACAGCCAGCAAAGACAACTGTAATTTTAACACTAAAACTCCTAAAAAAAAAACATAAAAATAAATTAAAGATTGGTAATTATCAACTTTTTTAAGCATTAATGTTCTTGATGTAACATGTTATTTGTTCAGCTCTTTTTTTAAAGGTTTATTTATTATGTATATAACATTCTGCCTCCAAGCCGGAAGAGGGCACCAGATCTCATTATAGATGGCTGTGAGCCCCCATGTGGTTGCTGGGAATTGAACTCAGGACCTCTGGAAAAAACAGCCAGTCAGTGCTCTTAACCTCTGAGTCATCTCTCCGGCCCCCACCCCTTTCAGCTCTCTTTTTAATAACATATCCTTGTGGGGAGGGGATATGTACATGACTGCAGATGTCCACAAAGGCCAGAGCATCCTATCTCCCTGGAGCTGAAGTTGCAGACAATTGTTAGATACCTGGGTCCTCTTTGAGAGCACCAAGGGCTCTTAACCACTGAGCCATCTCTCCTGCCTCTTGTTCAACTGAATGGATCAAACGAGAATGAATACTCATTTTAAAAAGAAAAGATGGCCAAACACAGTGGCACACTCCTTTAATCCCAGCACTTGGGAGGCAGAGGCTAGCCTGGTCTACACAAGTGAGACCCTGCCTCAAAAAATAAATAAATCAGATATTAGAGTACTTCATACCACCTTTGCTAAACACTTGAGGGTACAGCAAAAAAAAATGCACTACAACCATTTGTCAAGTCAGGAAATAACCTAAAAGCAATGAGGATTCAGCTAAAGAAACAGTTTACATTACCTTTTTTAAAGGACGATAACACAAAACACTTTAAAGGAAACTCTACCTTATAGAAAGCTGCTGTTACCTAAAAAATTGGGGGTGCATACCTGCAAAATGATCCTTCAATGGTTTAAAACTAATGTGTAGAGCAAGTCAGGAAATATGTAGGACCCAGTGATGAGAACATTAGGAAGCCTGAGGGGTTATGGGTGCTGGTCTGTCAACTTGACACATTCACATTTTTTTCAAAAAGAAGTTTGTCATTGGTCTTAACCAGTACAGTGAGAGTATTGTAAACAATCCTTTAAAGTTAAAATACTTTTTTCCTAGCAGGAATGAATAAAGGGAAAAACTAAACCTGAATTGATATTCAGCAACTTATGTTATGCTCAAGTTTCTGGTCCCCAAAAGAATTCAAGGAGCCGGATTTCTGATGCAAATTACATGAAGGTTTTTAATATTCAAACTCAAGTTTGGACCAACCCCTTTCTAGCACCCCAGCATGGTGGGTACAGAAAGTGTGGCAGGGAGCCCTGGGAGGGTAGAACTTTTAAAGGGGAAACGCTGTAATCAGGGGAGGTCATGTCCTGATGTCTTGGGATTGGGTAAGGAGGGCATAGGGTAAGGTAGTTTCTGAAATCATTGGTCAGTTTTTGGGCACAAAAACCTAACAAAGAGCCATTAATAACTGACGAGGTATCTTCAAGAACAGGAGGCCTCCTAGTAACAGCTGGACCTCGTTAAATTGTATATCCCTGCTCCTTAGCTCCTTAACTGGCTATTTTTAGGGTATCTGTTCAAATTTTGCTATCGCTGCACATTTCTGGAGCTGAGATCTGTCCCCCCACCCCCATTCATTATATGGCTTAAGATGAAGCCCCTTCTTTAAAATAGGTTTCTAAGTCACACTTACACCTGCTATTATTAAAGGTTAAGTATCTTTTCACAGACACGTCCCATGCCTAGTGGAGCTTCCTAACCCACACAGGCCTTTCTTGAACAGCATATAGACAGGTGTTGTTTTATTCAGGTGTTGCTTAACAGTGATCTCAAAATGTGGGGAGGTACAAAAATCACTGGGAGGTGTGCTAATTAAAGTTCATATTGTAAGGGCCAGCCATGATAATCTGTCACCCAAAGGAAGTTCTTTACTTCGATGAATTTAAATAGGAGACCTGGGTCTCAGTGGGTTGCCTTGAAGCAATACCTGGTGGCAGAAAAGAACCACAGGCTGAGATAACCTAAGGGCAGACCATTCAAAGGAAATGCCTGACAGACCAACCACTGTAGATAGGATCACCTCCCAGTGCACCTCACTAGGAGGCCCCTAGACAAATGTCAGCCAATCATGGGTCCTGAAGCTCAGAGACCCCCCCTCACACCCCCCCCTTTACTACTATAAAAACCCAATTCTATTTGAGCTCGGAGCTCTCCGGGTATTCTAGTACGTTGGACATGCGGAGAGACCTAGTTTGCAAACATGATTAAAATAAAGGCTCTTTGCTTTTACATATGGGACTCGGTCTCCTTTGTTTGCTTTTGTGCGGACCCCGCGGATTTGGGCATAACAATATTCGTGGGCCAGGAGAAGTGGAGGAGCAGGCTGGGAGGCAGGGCCAGGAGGCTCTTCGTGAGTTCGAGGCAAGCCTGGTGATCTACACAGCAAGTTCCAGACTAGTCAGGGCTGGTTGCACATTGAGATCCTGTCTCAAAAAAAAAAAGAAAAAAGAAAATTCATATTCGTGGAGGATAATAGTAAATACCCGCGGTCCGTATGTGGACTGCAAACGAACACCTTTCAAACACTAGAGCCAGCAGCCCTTAAAAATTATTTAACTCTTAAATCACGTCAATGTCACTCTCCCGGTCTCCCTTCCTCCGACCCCTTTAAGTCCTCAACACTCTTCAAATCTGAGGTGCGGTTAAAAACATCAGCGCCATCACCTCACTTTCAGTCTGTAACTGCAAGAACCCGTTTCACCGCACTCCACTTTTCTCCTCCGCGGGGCTGTAGCGCCACCCTTCCCCCACAGGCTCTCCCGCGGCCCCGGGGCCCACGCCGCCCTCCGCCCCGGTTCCTCCGGCCAGCTCGCCAGCTACGTGGCCTCCGGACCTCCCGTCCGCTCCCCCGCATACCCCGCTGGCCAGACCCCACCGCCACACCTTACGGTCGCGCCACGAGTCGCTTCCCCTCCGAGCTGGGGGAGGGGCGACAGGAGTAGCTCCTAAGGCCTCCGCAGCATTTTTGAAACTGCGAGCAACAGCGGCGCGACTTCCGGCCTCTCAAAGTCCCGTTTGCCAGAGCTTCCGGGGAGGCAGTCGAAACCATAGAGGAGCCCGTGGAGGACTAGAGGGCTAGAAAGGCTGAAGAACCTACCATCGAGTACATGCTTATCCGAGAAGAGAGTCTCCAGTCATGGACGATGACCGCTAGAGATAGTTATGTATTTATTTTACTTTCGAGGCAGGAAGTCTGTGTGTAGCCCTGGCTGTTCTGGAACTCACTGTGTAAACCAAGCTATCCTCGAACTCACAGAGGTCCACTTCGTCTGCCTCCCGAGTGCTGGGGTTTAAGGCGTGCAACACCATGCATAAAGAGGTTTTGACAGAATAGGGAGAACTGTCGGGATCTTGCGATAAGTACAGCGATGTCCCCGGCGATCAAAACAAAAGAAAGCTAAGAGCACAATCAGAGGTGGCCTTTAGATCCTCAAAACCCTTAATATAATTTAATCATTCTTACTGCCCAGGGGTGGCCGCCGAGGGAAACGGCATCCCAATTGTTACTCAATGGGGAACATACACGAATGTTTATTCACGAATGACTACAAAAGAAGTGATAAATGCTAAAAGAGAAGGACGAAGAACAGTGAGACGGATCTTAACTTGGATCACAGAATTAGGTCATGCTTCCCCACCACCCCCTGGGGTCGAGAAACTACCTCAAGCAAAGTGCCGGTGCCAAACAACATCACCTACCCCAGATAACCTCATTTATTTCGATATAATTCTGAGTGAGAGGATTTTCTGAGCTGAAATATTTTGTCTTGTAATTTCTTAATAGCTAGGTGTTTTGGAGGACAGTACGAATTCATTACTTTCAATGTAAATGCTACCCCGTTTCTTGTTTTTGTTTCTTTTTTTTTGTTTTGTTTTGAGACAGGGTCTCTATGTATCCCTGGCTGTTCTGGCACTCTGTGTAGACCAGGTTGGCATTGAATTCACAAAAGTCCTCCAGCCTCTGCCTCATTCCAGAGTGCTGGATTAAAGGCGGTCCACGCTACTACCCGGTTCTTTGGAGACAGCTTCCACATCCCATCCCCAAGCCTCTCAATTCTCTACAAGCTAAGCCTATTGATCCTTTGATTATTTCTTTTTGACGTGTCAATGAGCCACCTTGTTACCCTGAACAAGAACTTGTTTGTGTTAAAATGTGGCGCCCAGAAATAGATGCATACTTATGCAAAGAAAACAAGACCGTACTCTCCCTTGATTTACACTTTACATGGTCCCTACTACGAATTTATTAATTGGGCATTTTGAAAGACAGTACGAATTTATTATTTCCAATGTAAACATTTTACCCCATTCTTTTTATTTTGCTTGAGGCAGGATCTCACAAAGTATCTCTGGCTGTCCGAAATCACTAGGTAGACCAGGCTGACCTTGAACTCGGAAGATCTACTGACTTCTGCCTCCAAAGCGCTGGGAATAAAAACCTGCACCGCTGTGCCCAGCTCCTACTTAGAGCCTTTCCCAATGGGAGAGTCAGAGCTTTCTGAAGGCGCTGAGGAAGTGATTCCCTTTGTACAGTCGCTGACGAGAAGCTTAAAGTCAACAATGGAGTTCCTCAAAAGAGGGGGAAGGGCACTTTTAGGTAAAACCCAGCCAAGTATTTCCCCTTCTCCCTTTGTGCAATACTTTTTGTTTGGTTAATTTGGTTTGGTTCTCTTCTGTTTTGGAGACAGGATCACACTCTGTAGGTCAGGCTCCCTGTAATTCGTTATATAGGTCAAGCTGGTCTGGAACTAGAGGCAGTTCTCTGCCTGCTAATTCTGAGAATGCAAGCATGACCCACATGACTGACAACAAGTTCTAGGTCCCCAAGAGCTATATTGCGAGATTCACTGTCAAATTAATTAATTTCCCAACAGGATTTTGCTATTTTTAAAATAATAACTGGGGGCTGGAGAGATGGTTCAGTGGTTAAGAGAACTGGCTGCTCTTCCAGAGGTCCTAAGTTCAATTCCCAGCAACTACATGGTGGCTCACAACCACCTGTAATGAAATCTGGTGCCCTCTTCTGGCGTAGGGCCAGAAAAATAGCCAACTTTAAAAAAAAAGAAATAAACTTTAAAAAAAATGTGTGAAGGTCAGAAACATGCATTTTAAAAAGTAATATTTGACTAACTTAGATTCCTCCTACTGTCTGCGGAATTTTGGACTTAGAATCCCTTCATGCAGTTCTGATTCTTTAAAATGAACAATCTAGAGCAGGGGTTCGCAATCTTCCTAATGCCGTGACCCTTCAATAGAGTTCCTTATGTTGTGGTGACCCCCTACCGTTAAGTAATTTCATTGCTACTTCATAACTGCAATTATGCTACTGTTCTGACTTGTAATGTAAATATCTGATATACAGGATATCTGAGATGTAACCCTTGTGAAATAGTCTTTGGGTCCCACCCTCTCCACCCAGAGGTCTCAACCCACAGGTTGCAAACAGGTATTTAGAGGCTTCTAAAATATAAGACCAGCTGGCTCAGCAGATAAAGATTATTGCCCCAAGCCTGCGTTTCAAAAGTTAAAAAAAAAAAAAAGGAAGGCCTGGAAAGTGGCCTAGTAAAGGAATCTGATATTCAAGTAAAGAAAATGTAAGTCTAATTATGGATGAGCTGCTGTCACCCTTGGTGCAAGCCAAAAGGTCAGCCCTTTCCCTTTTTGTTTTTCAAAATATTTGTCAGCGCAATTTATCTTCATCTAAAGCCTTCATAAGGAAGGGGACAGGAGAGATGGCTCGGTGATTAAGAGTGCTGGCCTTTCTTTTGGAGAACCCAGGTCCCAGCACTCACACGGCCCTCCGCACCTATCTGTAACTCCAATTCCAGGTCATCCGACTCTCTCTTCTAGCCTCTAAGAACACTGTCTACAAGTCCATACACAGACATACAAACAGGCAAAACACCTGCACACATAAATAACTTTGTTTGTTCATTTTCTGAAGACAGGCTCCCACTTTACAGCTCTGACTGTCCTGGAACTCAAACTCACAGAGGCCTACCTGCCTCTGCCTTATGAGTGGATTAAAGGTGAATGCCATTGTGCCAAGCCATAATTAACTTGTTAAAACAATGCCCTAATAACTATGTCAACAGAACAAGGCTTAGAAAATAGAGCCTTTACCAGCACGTGGAGGGCTGAAATCAGGAAGATCCCACAAGGCCCTGCCTAAATAAATAAATAAACAAATGAAGCCTTACCCATCACATTGACACTGATATGCTGTACATGTTGAGGGCCCATATCTACCAATCAAATAAACTTAGCAAAAAATAAGCTGGTTAAAAGTTCATAACTCATCTTGTTCTCTGTCACTTCCTTCTCAAAGAAGTCTGTTCACATAAGCAAACAGGAAGTCTGACTTCTGGTCCAGCTGTTTCTTGAAACCAGAGCATTACCCGGTTATATATCTTTAGTGTCTCGAGCTACAAAATAAAATGGATGAATTGGCTTGTCTATGGCCCTTTTTAATTTTAAAAGAATTAGAAGACAATTCCTGAATTATAACTTTCTGAAACAAAGCTAGAGTGATAACTCCCTCATCCACAGACAAGGATATGAAGAGGAATATAATGTTTCCTTCTTCCTAAGGAACATTACTTAACTACACAAAGAAATTGCCTCTCTGACATCTCCCAGCTTCAAACTCAAAGAGTATCATTTTCCTGAGTCTGGTATTTATCTATTCCATGCATTTCTTTAGATATTTAGGATTTTTGTTTTTGCTTTGCTTTGCTTTGTTTTTTGAGACAGGGTTTCTCTGTGTAGCTTTGGAGCCTGTCCTGGAACTCACTCTGTAGTCCAGGCTGATCTCGAACTCACAGAGATATGCCTGCTTCGTTTAGGATTTTTAAATTTTTTATTTATTGTGTGGAAGTCAGAGTTGATTTCCTCTTTCCTTGATGTGGAAATCAGGGTTCAAATTCAAATCCTCTGTGTAGCTCTAGTTGACCTACTTGCACTATTAGATCAGGCTGGCCTTGAAGTCACAAAGATAGTCTGCCCTTGCTCTGAAGTGCTAGAATAAAGGCCTACTCCACCATGCCCGACACTATTACACTTTTGGGTTTTTTTTTGTTTTGGTTTTGGTTTTGGTTTTTCAAGGCGGAGTTTCTCTGGAGCCTGTCCTGGAACTAGCTCTTGTAGACCAGGTTGGTCTTGAACTCACAGAGATCCACCTGCCTTTGCCTCCTGAGTGCTGGGATTAAAGGTCTGTGCCACCATCACCGGGCTTGCTTTTTTTTTTTAAGTAATTAATTAATTAATTTTGACACAGGGCGTAGTAGTCCTAATCCTGGCTGTACTGGAGCTCACTTTGTAGACCAGGCTGGGCTTGAACTCACTAAGATCCACCTGCCTCTGCCTCCCGAGTGCTGGGATTAAAGACGTGTGCCACCACTGCCCAGCTGAATTTAATTTTTATAGTTGCATCAAACTCTTAAGTGTTTTACTGTAATTTATATTCTTTCTGTTATTCTTTTGCGTGCATGTGTGTTCCACCTGTGTCCAGGTGTTCACAGAGGCTAGAGAAGGCATCAGATCCCTTGTGTCTGGAGTTACAGGCAGTGTGAGCTGCCTGATGTGGGTGCTGGCAATTGAACTCAGGTCTTCTGCATCAGCAGCGAGTGATCTTCATTTCTGAACCATCTCTCCAGCCCTGCAACTTATGTTCTCATTCCTCATTGTCAAGTTCAGTGATGGCAAATCATATAATTACGGTTAAATTCCTTTTCATTGGTGTATAGTGATATTATTGTTCAGTCATAAGCTGAATTGTACACAGGTAGAATGAATTGTTGTATAGCTAACCCCTGTGTTAGTTTTCCAGGGCTGCCATAACAAAATACTACCGGGGGCTTACACAATGGAAATTAATTTCCTCTCAGTTCTGGATCCTTAAGTCAAAGATGATGGAATCATAGACTTGTTTCTTTCTGATTTTTCTCTTCTTGGCTTGTAGTTGGTTGCCTTTGGCTGAGTGCACTTGGGGTCATCCTTTAGCCTGTGTGTTGTCTGCACTTTTAT